CTACGGACCCTTCCAGCCCGGAGTGGACAAGTATCTGACGGAGAAGCGGTCCGTCCTTGAGAAGGATATCAAGGAGCAGATTCAGCTTGCAAGCTGGAAAGATGTCAACATCGTGGCTCTGAAGGAAAGCGCCAGAAGGTCACACGTCAAGCTATTCAAGTTGGTTCGAAAGTACCGTGCAGCCCTTGGCCAGCCGGTTCAATCTATCCTTGAAGCAGGCCTTCCAGAAAGCACCGAGGAGATCACTTCGATATCCCAAGCAGAGCCAGTCCGCCCCACTGCCACATTCCCAGAGGCAATGGCCCTTTGCCAAAGTGACAAGAACCTGTGGTCCACTCGAGCTCTCAGATTCCAGAAGCCGGATGGAACAGCCAGCAACATGATGAATCTGTATTCGTCAATTCCAGCCGAGTTCGACATTGCGAAGGACCTCGACAGCTTCATTGTCTCGGTGATTGAAAGCATGAATGAGTTCAAGTCCAAGACACCCAAGGTCCTGAACGAAGACAATAAGGACGACGTCCAGCACCTCAAGTCCCAGAAACGCCGTCTCTATGCTGAGACCCTCAAGCAACTCTATGAGATGGGCGTGAAACGTAATGCTGGATCGAGTGTGATCGAAACACAAGAAACGGTTCCGCAAGTTCTGGCCACTGCTGCCGCCTTTGAGGCTGGTGCTGCTACCTCAACTGCAGTTCAGAGTGCCGACTGGTACTTCCACAGACTTCTGGATCTCCTGCCTAAGACTCGCCTAGCGTCTCGCAACTATTCCGAGGAGCTAAGCAATGTCGAGGTCCACAGGAGCATGGGATCGATTGAGCATCTCATTTTCACTGTCCGTCGTCAGAGAGGTGTCATTTCACCTGCCCTCTCAGGCTTGGGCAAGTTGAAGTCAACGCTTGACAAGGTGCAGAACCTTTGGACGGCGGCTTCGAACTCCCTGTCGAAAGACCATGCTTCTGCATTGGAGGAGCGAACCAATCTGGCCAGAATCGTGGCTTGGTTGGCTCCTATTCTTGGACTGGCTGCGATGATCATTGGAGTGCATTCTAAGTTCTCAGGAATTGATGCATCTAAGATTGTGGAACAGCTCCGCGCCAAAAAGGCATCCTTCGACAGCCTACGCAAGTCGCACGAAGCCCTTCCCATGCTTCCCACCAGGATTGCGTCTAACGCAAACCACGAGATCGCGCAGCAGACCCAATCCTCACTCGATGAATTGGCTGCTGACTTGAAGCAATGGAGCCAAGCTCGCCCTGATCTGTCCTTTGCGTTGGATCAGATCACACCTTGGGTCAATACACACATCGCTGCTCTCCCTGAGGTCGATGACGAGAACACCCTATCCATCCAAGCCTTCGATGGCAGCCTCCTGACAGCCATTGACAAAATGCTCATTGGCCTCCAGAAGCTCAAGGATGTGCCTTCTGCCATCACCTTTGATGGATTGCTGTCGAGGAGTGATGAGTTCTTCTCTCGCGGTATCAAGGCTGTCCATCTCACCGAGATCACCAGTGCGTTGGAGAAGGTCCTTGATCAATTACACTGCCTGCAAGACCACTCCCCTAGCGGCCTCTCCGTTGCCGCCGCACTGATCACCAGTATCTTGCCTATCGCCAACAGATACTACCAAATCTGCCGGGATCTGGCTGATCGGTTCATTGCTGTTCATCGCGAGATCTGCAAGACATCCTACATCCTGACCAAGACCTTCAAGCAGGTCGCCTCCGAAGGCTTCTGTAGTCCTGCCGAAGCATCCCAAGATCAAGGCAAGGAAGGCCAGATGGAAAGTGGAACAGGTCTCGGCGAAGGCGAAGGCGCGGAAGATATCAGCAAAGATGTTGGAGATGATGAAGATCTAACTGAGCTGGCGCAGCAAGAGAACAAGAAGGAGGACGGCGATGATGAGATGGATGATTCCAAGGACGCCGTCAACATGGATCAGGAAGAGTTGGAAGGTGATGCCGAGGATCGCAAGGACGATGAGGAGGAGAACGACGACAGTGCCGACGAAGGAGATGACGATATCGACGAAGAGACAGGAAGCGTTGATGATCTTGACCCAGGTGCTGTGGACGAAAAGCTCTGGGACGGTGGTAACGATGAGCAGCAGAAGGATACCGAAAACGAAGAAGGAAAGGGCCAATCAGAGGCCGAGCAACAAGCTGCTGCTCAGGAAGAGAAGGGTGACAAGGATGGTGAAAAGGGTGAAGAAAAGCAAAAGGAGGGAGAGGAAGAGGAAGAAGAAACAGAAGATGAGGAGGCCCCCGAAGACGAGGGCGAGGCAGTTGGCCGCGAGGAAATGGATGTCACCGATCCTCAAGCAAAGGAAGAAGAAACACTTGAACTTCCCGAGGAAATGCAACTTGATGATGGTGAAGGAAAGGACGACAATGGGGAGGATGACGATGAGATGGATGATCTTGACGATGATTTCGGTCCTGCCCCCGAAGAAGGGAAGGTCGAAGACGCCGATGATCATGCCGGTGAAGAAGACGCCGAGGCAGCCCCAGAGGATCAAGTGCCAGGCGAGGAAGATGAAGAAATGGCCGATGACGCGGAGGAAACCAATGAAGGCGAAGCCGGAGAAGAAGAGGAAGAGGAAGCTGGCGGCGAAGATCCCGAGGAGCCTGAGCAAGACGACTTCCTCGCACAACGTGATGAGAATGATACCGCAGGTGACAACGTCGCTCCTAGTGAAGCTGTCACTGGCGGGCTCGGAGCTGAGCAAGACCAAAATGAAGAAAAGGGTGCCTCGGGTGACGCTCAGCAGGAGAGCGGCTCGACCGATCCCAGTGCCAATGTCGACCAACAGACAGGTGCTGCCAAGGACAGCGAGGAGAGCCAGCCCAGCCGAGACGCTGCCGGTGGCGAAGATCAAGGGCCAGATGAACCTCAGATGCAGGCATTCAAGAAGCTCGGTGATATCCTTGAGCAATGGCATAGACGACAAAAGGAGATCCTCAATCCGTCCCAACAGGAAGAGGAATCTCAGGCTATGCCCGAAGACACCGATATGGCCGACGCAGACTTCGAACACCTAAAGGACGACGAAGATGCCGCAGACACCCAGGCCCTTGGACAAGCAAACGACGACCAAACGCAAGCCCTCGACCAAAGCAAGGGTGTGGAGTCTGACATCAAGCCTGGTGAGAACGATGTTCTCCCAGACGTGTCGGACGAGCAGCAAGATGCTGTGGACAACCAGCTTGAGGATGAGATGCAAATTGACCGTGAGACCGTTCCCACCGATGGCGAGTCCGCCGGCGCCTTCATTCCTGGCGGTCAATCCTCTCACGATCGCGCAGACGGAGCACAGGGTACCGAAGAAGTGGACGAGGAGCTCGACGAAGTTGACTCGCAACTCGCAGCGATCCACCTCTCCTCTTCGCTCCCCCCATTAACCCCACAAGACGAAGCCCGCCGCCTCTGGTCACACTACGAGTCCGCCACAAATGATCTCTCCCTCTCCCTGACCGAACAACTCCGTCTCATCCTCGCCCCCACAATGGCCACCAAGCTCCGCGGTGACTTCCGTACCGGAAAGCGGCTGAACATCAAGCGTATCATCCCCTACATCGCTTCCCAGTACAAGCGCGACAAGATCTGGATGCGCCGCTCTATCCCCTCAAAGCGTAACTACCAGATCATGCTGGCTGTCGACGACAGCAAGTCCATGCTGGAAAGTGGCAGTGGCCAGCTCGCCTTCGAGACCCTCGCCCTTGTTGCGAAGAGTCTGAGCATGCTGGAAGCCGGCGACCTGTGTGTCCTTGGCTTCGGTAATGAAGACCATGTTCGCGTCGCCCATGAGTTCGGAAAGCCCTTCTCCTCCGAGGCCGGCTCCCAGGTCTTCCAGCACTTCAGCTACCAGCAAACTGGTACCAATGTCCGCAAGCTGATTGCTGATTCTATCGCTCTCTTCCGCGAGGCTCGCTGGAAGCGCTCGCCTGGATCTGGCTCTGGCGATCTCTGGCAGCTTCAGTTGATTATCTCTGATGGTATCTGTGAAGACCATGATACTATTCGCCGTCTTGTTAGACAGGCGCTTGAGGAGCGTATCATGGTTGTCTTTATTATCGTCGATGCTGTTAAGGGTAGCTCTATCCTTGACCTGTCGCAGGCCAGCTTCGAGGCCGATCCTGGTTCTGGTGGTGAGATGAAGCTTAAGATGAAGCGATACCTCGAGCACTTCCCCTTCCCTTACTACCTCGTTGTTCGTGATGTGAGGGAGTTGCCCTCTGTTTTGGCTACTGCACTCAAGCAATGGTTCGCCGAAGTTGTGGATGTGTCGTCTTGATACTCCAAAAAATAAAAAGGAGTTGGAATTGTTTATTTGGAGTTATTTTGTCACATTTTACGGCGTTGGGATGATTTCTTTTTTGTACATGATAGATTTTAGAGACGTGATACATGTCCGTTGAATGTACATTTTTTAGTTTATTCAAATTCGCGTATGCCATTCCTATAAAAAGCTTCTTAAGACTGAAAGATTATACTATAAAACTTCCTCTAGTTGTCCGGCTGTAAGTCACAAGATAATTAATTCTGAACTTGAAATAGTAGATGGTATCGAGGATGAAATGCATATGAGTGTCCCACATGTCGGATGTATTTTGCCTCCGCAAGATTAATAATCACTTGTCAGCCACCTAGGCTGATTCAGCCACACTCGGAGAATGTCTGGGGAATCCAGGTCGACATATACCTGCCGTAGATCAATTTAATCAATGTACTTCCACAATCACACCCTGGATTAGCTGATACAAAACGTATCGCACCGTCACTTTCCTTGAGCGCATGACTCGCTTCGCCTCGTAACCAAATCAGCTACTCCTCCACCGAAAGGTGATTGAGCTGGATTATTAAGTGACCCCGAGAACGATTTGCACCAAGACCTATCTATTCTAGACCTAAGGTATGTATCCGAAGGTTAGCTTAAGGTCAAAATAACCCCTACTAGCCTTTGCCATAGGAATAATCTGTCCGGGCAGCTTGTCTGAATGGAGCTTGCATCTAGTAGTGGAGGGCGGTTGGGATCGAAGAGCCAAATTAAGAAGAAAGTTGAAAATGTAAGTTCCCAAAGAGCACCTAGTCCAGCAGGGCATCTGACGTATCAAGGCATGTCAGCAGTGCCAGACGAGAAAGAAGCGATGTGAGGGGAATCTGCCAAGTTGTTCTACTTGTTTGAAGCAAGGACTGCCTTGTAAATACATGCAAGTAAAAAGGCGGGGCAAGGGTAAAGTGTGAGTTGAACATGGCGGTTACTCCGAGTCAGTCTAAATCTTCTGAACAGGAACGCATATGTCCAAAACCTGGAGGAAAAGATCGCAAGACTGGAAACCTCCCTTCTTCGCTCCGGGCTCATACAAGATCAAGTAAGCTCCAGGCCATCGTATACTTTTGGAACGCCACTAAGATAGGATGGCCACAAAGGCACTCGGCCCGACCTCTACTTTTGGGTCTAGTGATGTACGCCCATTGGAACATACAGTCAGACGATCCACTACACCCCTGCCACCTACTGGAGAACCCTCGATTGGAGCAAACAGTCAAGCATCAACTGCTCCCCGAGGGAGTTTCTTCGAGTTCCTCCCAGACGAAAATATTGTGAGACGGCAGCGTGCCCAACTTCGCCGTGGTCCGTTCATCTGTGCTATCTTTACAGACCTCCCGCCAAAGGTCCACCTTCAATCACTGTTTGAGGTATCCTACAACGAGATTAACTGCCAGTGGCCACTATTCAATCCATCTAATTTGGTAACACTCCTGGATGAGCAATACGCAAGTGATGCTTCTTCACTTGACAAAAACATTGCACGCTGGGGTTTTCTGAACACCGCAGTGGCGATTGCAATTCAGTCCCGCGCAGCCGAGGATTCATATAGTGAAATGATAGATCTGTCATGGCACTTCTTTAAAAATTCGTTCGGTGTCCTTCCAGCAATTGTCTCCCGGGGAACAGATATCCTGGCCCTGGAAGCAGTTCTTGCTATGGCCCTGTTCATGCAAGGATCAAGTGATTCACGCACAACATCGCTTCTAATCTCTGAGGCCGCGAAACTATCCTTAACACTTGGGTTTCACAGAAGCTCTTTCTACACGAACATGAACCCAAATACTGCCGAGCGCCACAAGCGTGCGTTTTGGATTACATATATACTAGACAAAGATATGTCCATCAAAACTGGAATGCCGTCCACTTACAACGATGATGATATCAGTCTTGGGTATACAACTTCGGATTCGCTCGGCTGCCCTGGGAAGGTTGTTGTCTCAGAAGTGTGTGTGGAAGCCACCATTTTTCGACTGCGGGCTCAGTTGGCCGTGATCGAATCAAAGATTCAGAATCAGTTGTATTCTGAAAAGAGCACTAAGTGCAGTGCAACCCAGCTTTTGCAAGTAGTCGTGGAGCTGGAGTACCGGCTTGAGGACTGGAAGGCACACGTCCCTTTAAATATACAGCCAGGCAACATCGATTGGTCGACCGTCATTCCGCCAAGGGAGCCTATCATTTTATTACATCTTGTTTACTATCGCGCTATGAGCGCAGTTCACAGTTTCGCGGCGCACCTCATGCCAACTAATGATCTCGACTGCCTTTCACAATCCATTTCCTCAGAGATCATTCACACGAGTATGGCCCAAGAATCAGTTCGCCTGCTCCAGTTTTTACCACCCCAAGCACCAGGATGTCTCTGGTATGTATGTAAGTCATGTGTATGGAATAAAGCTAAATATAATGATTCACAGGCAGATCTTGTTCTATCCTTTGTCTGCGTGTATTGCCCTAGTAGCAACTTTACTCAGACACCCCACCGATGTGCGAGTACGATCCCACTTGAGACACATTGGTGATTTTGTCAAGTTTCTGACCAACGCCCAAAAACGTGGAGGGCTCGACGTGGCGCACATGTTGCATCTGTGCACGGAATTAGAGAAGCTTGCAGTCGATACAGTCATAACAGAGACAAATGTCCCTCGATCAGCAGAACTTTCAGGCAGTGGTTGTCCCACTAGCTTACATGCAAAGGCCCAAGTAAGTCCAAGGGTCCATCTGTGATGAAGAGGATTTGCGCTTACACCTTGGCAGAGGCTTGCATCACAGCCAGCCTTGTACGGCAACCATATGCATCTCGCACAGGGCCTGATGGGTAACATGCCAACCTTACAGGCTCTTGCTGCTAATGTCTTCTTCGATATACTTCCCGTTGAACCAAAGCCAAGCACGTGTACGGGGGTACTTGGACCTGCGTTGCTAAACCCAGAAACCTACCAATTTGTCTTTACGTAGGTATTCAATATGGACTGAGCTGAAGCAATTAATTAATATTTCCTCAGCTAATCTTCCGATCAGTGAAGTATTCCACGAGACATGCGGCACTCAGAGTCGGTTCACCTTCGGATGGTAATTCAACTCACAATTGCTTGCAAAATATTAGAAAACACCGATCACTAGCAGTATAATATCATTGTCCATATAGTTAAGGTGGCAAAGAGTAGGGATCGCTCTGTCACTAATATACCCAAGAACCCGCAGTCATTCGGTAGGGCTAGTTCTGTTGTTACGGGTGTGATGTTATAAAGGCCGGTTTTCTGCTTGATGTAGTCTGTGGTGGCCTCGTCTGGTGGGGCATCTGGGACGAGATATTACACTCTCCATGTGATGGAAAATGAATCAAAACTTCCATGATAGGCTTTGTTCTAGAGCGAGATGGCTTGTTCTAGTTTGCTTTTGCCGGCATAATAGAACTGTGAATTGATAAGTACCTTCGGAGTGGCTAGTAAGCTGAAGAAAAATGGTTGAATTCTACCTACCGGACAAGTAATGTCTGAAATAACCTCAATTCGAAAGACAGTCATTGATACTGCAAAACAAGAGTAATGTATTGTTTGGCTAGACTTAACTTGAGCTGTTAGATTAAGAATCGAATTTGACCGAGAAATGCACTACTTAATAAAGTAAGCGTTAGGGAACTACGGAAATATCTTGTATTGCTTGGTCATCGCTAGAACATTTTTAAGCTAATCGCATCCATCATGAACGGATTGAATTTGCTTCCTCAACATGATAATCACGTAGTTAGTAAGCTAACTCATTGTAGTAAGTCGGAACCAATTTGCATCCGCGTAGATTTATCTGCTTATCCAATCGTCACTTTTGGCTCCACAATTTCCACATGGGATACCATGATTGGTTGCCGACCTACTTTGTATATAATTTTAATGTCGATTACTAGAATACGGAGTGGTTGAGAAAGCACCGGACATACTGGCTTAATAATGATTTCATCTTGGGAGTATTAAAGGAACCTCTTTCGCACCAGTTTCTAACCCATTAACTCTTTCGCAATATATTATTTCACTAAGCAAGACGATGTCATTTCAACGAGTTGCACTCATTGGTGTAAGTACTCCAGGACTAGGGATGGATTTTGCTAATACATACTAACAGAAAGGCCTTCTGGGTACTGCCGTCCTTGAGCAATTGTCCAAGAGTAGCTTCGATGTCACAGTTCTGAGTCGCGACCCTTCTTCCCTCAGTGGGCTTCCTTCTGGGGTATCTACCTCTGCTGTCGATTATAGTTCTATCGACAGTTTAGTTAGTGCTCTACAGAACCAGGATGTCGTGGTTGCCACCCTTGGAGCTGCTGCTATTCTTGGACAGAAGGTCATTATCGATGCTTGCATTAAAGCTGGAGTCAAACGGTACATTCCGTCTGATTGGGGCTCCATCACGACGGATCCCACAGCGCGCCATCTTCCAACAAATTATCCTTTCGTCCAAATTCAGGACTACCTCAAGGAGAAAGCCCAGAAGGGCGAACTTGAATACACGATCCTATCGACTGGTGGCTTCTTCGATGGTATCCTAGATGTGCCGTTCCTGTTGGACCTCTCCACCTCATCGGTCGAATACTTCGACGAGGGACAACATCCTTTCAGCGTGACTACCCTCGACGGCGTTGGAAAGGCCGTTGTAGGTGCTCTGAAGGTGCCGGCGCAAACCAAGAATCGAAATATTTTCGTTCATCAAGCTCTCATCACACAGGTGAAGATGGTTTCCATCGTCAAGAAATATTCTACATCTGGGCGCCAGTGGCAAGAGACATACGTGAACGGCGAAACTAAGTTCAATGAAAGTCTGGATTTGGCTACGAAGAACCCTGGTGATTTCGGATTTATCATGGGTTTGCTTAAGGCCATGGCTCTCAGTGGTAAATTCAACTCGGCTTATTCCACTGTGGACAATGACTTGGTCGGTCTTCCAATTCTGAGCGACGAAGAACTGGAGAATCTGGTTGTTAGCAAGCTTCGCGAGAAGGGACAATAACTCACGCCCAAGACTAAAGGGAATATGGGATATCTTACCTGCGCTGTTAATTCTACATCATGCCATCACGGTGGAGACAGTTGGTGGCTTGCTTATTGCAAGCATCAAGTCTGCATCCATGCCTACTTTGTACTTAGCATCGGCTACCCCTTTTTTTGTATGGCGAGTCATTTTTCTTTTGGATTGTTTGCAGGACCGTGCTTATAACCGCCAAGACTCAAATCTTTTGATGGGTATTCAACATACCCTCCCTCGTGTTCTTCTTCAATCGGCCGTTTTTCCATCCTGGAATGGTTCTACTTGAACTTATTTATCCTGAATTGTTACTGGTCTATACACTATAAGTTGGCTCTGATCTAGTTGAATGGTCAGTCCTGTTTCTCTGCACATATTTTTAGCTCAATTTTAGCCCCATATTTTAGTTCCTAAGATCAACATCTGTTACGGTTGACGATGACGATGTTTCTATTTACCCCGATGTCTCGCCGAAGCGATTCCCAGAATACGCCAACCACGAAAGAGGACTGTTTAAACTCTCAGTGTCACATGCTCCATAGTAGCAGTAGTCTAACTCTCTCTCTCTCCTCTTAGCAACCACACACTACAATATCACACATTGTACTGCTTCATGGTCTCATCTACTAGATCGTAGATCTCAACAGGTTATGAGCCTGGGGAGCTCGTTATTGATCTGATATCGCGATTCATCGATATCCTCGGTTTCTGTGCAACACGGTGCACAGGGGTTGTGTCTTGCCTGACATGATCCATCCAAACTCAAGTTCATATTGGTATTTCATTAAGTCTCGAGAATTTCCTATTCACGATTTGCGAATAACCTTAGCTGTTATATCGATAGCAACGTTGCTATAATCTGCCAAGGTGACTAGTAGGATCTTAGTAGGATCTCCCTGTATAGGGGTCTACGTAAAGATTTCTTCCAGCTGACGCATAGTAAGATCCTGGTATTAGTTCACACCAGTTCCACCAGTTCCACCTTGTTCGACAATATATACACTGAATAAGCCAAGGGGAATGACTGTACGGAAGGGCATTCCTGGCTGGCAAAATTGCTGACGATCTCTTTTTATCCGGTTGCTAATACTATATATATGCGGTTAAAGGATCATCCAATGAGCATCCAACGAGCATCCAATGAGCATTCACTGAGTACTCACTGAGAATCCAGACGGGAACTCAGACCGCTGCACCCTGTGTGATTACATAGGAGCATTTAACCACTCGGCTAAAAAATCATAGGGACGATCGGAACCTCCAATCGTAGCTATAGCGGTGTATATACTATGCCCTAGACTTCGCTCGGGACTACACTCCTAGTACATTTAGGCCCAACACACACCAGATAGTTTCTTCCTCTCCTAACACGATCCAGAGGGTTTCCAGTCTGCTCAGTATTTCTACATTGTAGTCCCTGCCCTCCTCTCTAACAAAATTGAATTGTTTTGCTGGGTCAAATGAACCGAAATGATTCCTCATTTTCGATATTAACATCCACAATGTTTCAATTGGAAATAAATAACCCTTGGTATTCTTTTTATTTGCTGCATTGAGAGAGATCGTCCAGGATAAACTACATTAGCAAGGAACATTACTCCGTAGTCCACCGAACTATTGCGAGTATAGCCGTTATAGAACAATACATCGCAAAGATCATGAATCTAGTCTTGGGCCTTGATAGTGACGCTAGACTAGTTGATATCTTACTGGCGTGTTGTCGTGATGCGGCTGTTTCACCAAAGAAATCACTAGTTCCTTGAAATTACTGCTTGGCTAATCCTCTCGGTGTGGCTTGGGCCTTGCCAAAAGACAAGTTCTGTGAAGAATATCAAACGTGATCTCGCTCGGAAGTATCTCGGGAGATTTAGTGGGGAAATTGAAAATTGGCTGAGGTCATTCGAAACCGAGGCAAACCTACTTAGCGAAGAAGGAGCTAACTATTTCGGATAAACCCCGACGTATGCATAGCTGATAGGCGCCGTCTCCACGCGGGAGGGCCCCCCTCTTCGTTTCAAATGGATTCTACCTTTAAACACAAGCCAAGATGTGTGGGTCCTTTCATTGTTACATATTGGGGCGAGGACTAGCCTGTATCATCATATTCAAAGTACGAATTACTACGTACCCCACATTTCCTTCCAGGTTGAAGACTTCTCTGCCAATATTTAGGCTAAAAAAGATCGAATATCATTCCATCCAAGCTATTTACTGAATTTTTGGATAAAATAGGTACCGTCCGTTCCTTGGTAGTGATCCAGATAGATTGAAGGAGCCCCCCGTTTTACATCGGGAAAGGATTTCCCCTTTAGCTAGCACCTCAACTATGAACTTCTCTTGCCTAAGAAATGCTGGGCTCTGTTATGTATAAGTATCGTCCTCCTCCCTCCCCGACGATGTCTTCCATCACACTTGTTTCCATCTATCGACTCGAAGAACCAACATCTTTCCCAATATGATTCAACTCAAGACTGCTGCTCTAGTTGCGCTTTTCGCTGGCCAAGCGCTGTCGGGAGCCGTTGAATCCCGACAGGCCACTGAGAGCCTTGATGCCAAATTCAAGACCCATGGGAAGAAATACCTGGGAAACATTGGTGACCAGGGCACCTTGAGCAAGAACCCAAAGATCCCCGAAATACTCAAGGCTGACTTCGGTCAACTAACCCCGGAGAATAGTATGAAGTGGGATGCTACTGAGCGTGAGTATAAATTTTTCGTATAACTAGAAAACCAGAAGCTGATTTACAAAATAGCAAGCCAAGGACAGTTCTCTTTCGACGGTTCGGACTATCTGGTATATTATACCCTGGATTTTATACCGCAATTACCCAGCCCTGACAGATTCTAGGTCGACTTTGCCAAGACAAATGGGAAGTTGGTCCGCGGCCATACTCTCGGTAAGTGCGAATAATTTAGCCATCTCGCAGAAAGACAAGCTGAACTTGTTTAAGTGTGGCACTCCCAGCTCCCATCTTGGGTCTCTTCTATCTCGGATAAGACCACCCTGACAAATGTCATGAAGAGCCATATCACTACGGTGATGAAGCAGTACAAGGGCAAAATCTACGCCTGGGTATGTGGTATCTATAAGCTCTATAAGACCATATTACTAATCGACCTAAGGACGTTGTGAATGAAATCTTCAACGAGGATGGTAGCCTTCGTGATAGTGTCTTCTCCAGAGTCCTTGGCGAAGACTTTGTGCGGATCGCCTTCGAAACGGCTCGTGCTGCTGACCCAGATGCAAAGCTCTACATCAATGACTACAAGTGAGCCGTCGCCCTCTGCTTTTTATTTTATTTTACATAGATTCTGACCTTATGCAGCCTGGATACCGCCTCTGCCCCTAAATTGCAGGGTATGGTCAGCCACGTCAAGAAGTGGGTTGCTGCCGGTGTCCCAATCGACGGAATCGGTAAGATATTCGCCATTGCAGTTCGCCGTTATAATTACTCACTCCTTTCTAGGCTCTCAAACCCACCTGAGCGCCGGTGCCGGTGCTGCAATTTCTGGATAAGTACCCACTTGCTTCATGGCCGAAAACTAGCTAACAGCCTCTCACAGCTCTTGATGCTCTCGCCAGTGCAGGAACGAAGGAGGTCGCTATCACTGAGCTTGATATTGCTGGCGCCAGCTCTACCGACTACGTAGATGTAAGTTCCGACGATGTCTTAATATGATTGACTCCTCACTAACCCTCTGCTTTTATAGGCTGTCAAGGCTTGTCTGAACCAGTCCAAGTGTGTTGGAATCACAGTTTGGGGAGTTGCTGACCCGGTAAATACCCATTTCCCCGTAGGTCGAAAAGACTACTAATGTTTTGTTAGGATTCGTGGCGCGCCGACGAGAGCCCATTGCTTTTCGACGGTAACTACAGCCCCAAGGATGCCTACGGTGCCATCGCAAATGCCCTCTGAAAAAAAAGCTTTGGATCTCTATCTGAAGCTGCAAATTCTGCTACTGAGCAGGCTACACTTCAGATCCAAGTGTACAAACGATGCGAAGTCTTCGAGAGACAATGGGGGTGGTAAAGAAGGACTAGGAAAGAATGTTGTATTTGAGGCAGATAACCTAGCTTCTCTAAATCAATCGAAAGATCTTTCATGTTGTACAGAACTTGCCGTCCTGCCGTAATTCAATTCAAGATGGAAGCGAAAGCGAGCCGACTAAAGTATTTGTCTACAGCTCTTGACACTGGCCATAGTAATACATATGTTCTACAGAAGAGTGATTATGTACCTTTACATCCCGGACCCGTAGGTATCATGCTAGGGCTCTATTAAGGTGGATCGTGATGAGCATAAAAGACAAGGATTCAGAAAAATGTTTCTATTTATTCAATTAACTAATAGAAATTGGATATGCAACATAGGCATTTGAGATGTCTTGAGGAATGGTCGATCTTTCAGGGTATAGGGTGGAGCACTTACGGTGAAGCATATTCAGATAGGGCCAGCCGCATCGATATTAAAGGACCTAAGCTAGGTCAAATTAGAAGTGTCTATGGAGACATGTCCCACTTCCTTCAGACCCTGAACATCAACCCCACTCGATTAGACTACACTCGGCAGAATTTCCCAATTTTTGATACGAGCGCGGGAGTCTAAAGAGCAAGCTCTAGAAATGAAGAGATTGAAAAGGCGGATTGCAAAGCAGCCGGCTATAGAGGAAATACAAAAACAATTGGTGCGTTAAAATTTACAATGAGCAAGACGTTGGGTTGCTTGGCAAAGAACCGGGTACGGTAATTTGAATATCGACATCTGCCGGCGGGCAGGGTTCTCCTCAGCCTTGCTCTGATGATATTCAGGGTCTTTGGCCTAGACTGTCAAATTGTCTCAGCTATGCCAATTATAGGCTATAGTCATGTTTCAAAAGAAGAGCCCCTGAATTTAAAACAGGGATTCTTCCCGATTGTCTCACCTTATGTAATGCTTACAAGAAATTCATCTTTCAGCTGAAGGAGCTTCCAAGGTAGCCCGATGCGCAGGAGCTCTTGTTGCATGGACCGCGTGATCTGGCAATTGCTCCGAGGTTATTCTCACGGGAGAGGCATCTATAGAGGGCAGGATTTGATAAGGTATGATCATCTTCAATGTATTATCTTTATCCTAATGGTGGATTCCTAGCTTAATATGTAGGAGTATATAACTACCTTCTTAAGAGGTATACCTAAGCACCTGATTCAATTTTCCTTCATTGAGCCACTGTCTATCAAATATTTGTAGACACGAATCAATATGAAAATCTCTGCGCAAATATCCATGGACTTGGAGGTATAAGAACTGTAGTAATGAATATTTTAGGAAACTAGCATCTTCCGTACTTGGAGCCTCGGAGGTAGCATAAATCTGGAAAAACTACGTTCATAACTAAATATTTCTGTGATTTGTCTTCATGATTTGATTTTTCAATATGCTCGTTCCCTAGCATTACAGACTCTAAATAGGAATGAAAGACTGGAACGATTTACGAGCGGTCGATGAGCTTCGTGGTGTTCAGTTATATATAGCGAATGATAGGCAAGTTCAGAACGGCAAAAGGAGGAAATACGCCTTTTGATATTCTAAGGACCACAGTTTTCACCTAAATTACCACGATTTTTGTTCGTAAATGTCTCGGGCACTGTAATGGGGAACACACTGGACGTCCCTTTTTTCCCTTTGATATCGGTCGTATCAAGATCCCTGCCCTTACTCCGTCCTCCGTCCGGCGCACTATTGTGTTTCTATTTCTACCATATCCGATCTATTCAGTCTCTCTAGTGAAATATCCGTATCCAAGATTCATGGCCTATTTGTCCTTGGTGGTTCTGCGAGATATGGCTTGTACGCCGCCCATAGTGGACACGAAAAATATGATGTTTAACCAATGCTCGCATAAGGGAAAGCCTGCCAGGCACCACTAGAGCTTCTGCATGACCATTATGGAGTACTGGGCCCGATGATGCTAATTATACTTGTCAGACTGGGATATGGCCCCCTAGGCCCTAAACAGGAACCGAGGTTTTTGTTATGGTCTAGTGGTAAAATAGGCTGTATTTCTCCCATAATACTAATTAAGATTGATCAAATGAATTAACGGGGTAACAAGGTACCTCTACGTCTTGTATTTGCATGCTGAATGCTTTACATTAAGTCTTAATAGCCCTGGAGCAATGTTTGAAGCTTGGAAAACCAACTTCATGGTTGATACCTTTCATAAGACTATTTTTCTCTCTCGTGAGCCCAGTTCTTTTTACACACACCATATTGGTTCCAATCACGGACTTTTTTGTTCACCATTGTGATAAGTAAATCCGACGAAAACTGGGGCATATATTTCAACAAGCCATTAGAAAAGCCAAATGAGCTGCTTCCTCGCTAGTTCTCAACCCTGAAAGGTAATTTAAAGTTATTTCAACAACCAAGTCTCGTAGGCCACGATCACTTGTGGAAGTAGAAAGTAGAGTTGTATATCTCTACTATGGCACTCTGGAATGTGTTCTCATCCAGCCGCCGAACCAGTCCTTACCCGACCTTTTCCTTTAAAAATTCTTTTAAGCCTGCGATGAACATTAGGTATGCGAGAAAATATATTAAAATGTGGAAGAAGTTTAAAGACTAGACGACTTAGGCCTTAAGAACAAATCATCTCTTTATAGACCCTGCTTCCCATCTCAATGACGATTAGTTTTCCTGGAAGTGCCCCAGAATGATGTACTACCTTATCATACTATTGGTTGCTTTCCTATGTACCTGGGTACCGTAAACCAACCCCGATGAAATGATGTTTATTTATTCAACACGTAAACTCTAGGGTGCCATTTCCTAAATGACCGTCCAACCGGGAGCCAAAGACTTCACTGAACACAGCAAAAGTTGGAAAGTTTTCATGTGTCTGCACGGACAAACCATATCGAAACGTCTTTTCAGAATTTGCTCTCTCCTTACTAATACTTCAGAGACTACCAGAGTTCCATAGGCTATGAGGAAGGTCTGGAAATTTACACGGTGGCTAAGTAGAAAGAGAGCTTCACGAATTTTCAGCTAGATCGGTAATGTAAACCAACGCCCAACTCCGGCCTAAGTTTTGTTACCAATGTGGCCGGTGTGACCATTGAACAGTAACATGTCTCTCTGACTGCCTGGGCCACCAGAAGAAGTCACCGAGGAAGATGGCTTTCTAAATGGTTTCAATTTTCCGAGTCCGAGTCCACCGGACTCGGAGTCTATACATCACTGTTTGCATAGTTTGCCAAACTCGTTTCCTCAACAGCCCAATGAGGATCTTCATGATAGGTCAAGCTTCTTTGTATGATGCAAACGTGAAGACAAAAGAAGCCCACATTATCGGAGAGAATTTGGCGGAAGATCTAAACTTCGAATGTGGTCCCCCTGGCTTAGAAATACATTTGAAAAGAAACGGACTATATAAATCTACAAATCCGCGAGTTTTATAGCAGTAACAATAAATCAATCAAGCCTTTGCAATCGTTCCAGATGCCTTCCAACTACGCAAACGCTGACGAAAGTGCTATCATTGAAATAGTCAACGAACCGGCCAGCGGTGTAAGTGCGACCCCTAGGTTAAGATTTATTAAGGACTTGGCGCAGACCTGACTTCCACCAGGTATCTTATTTTACCCCAAAGCAAGACCCGCCCGCCGGCACAGCTGTCTCACCGGCGCCGAATGACCCAAATGTACCCAAGCTCTTTGCTCCGTTGAAGATTAGAGGCCTCGAGCTTCACAATCGTATTTTGGTGAGTAGCCCCTGCGGTTTCATCGCTTTGGCGATAACTGATAATAAAAGCTCTCCCCCCTCTGCCAATATTCAGCCGCGGATGGGCACCTTACCGATTGGCACTTTGCTCATCTGGGCGGCATTATCTCACGTGGACCTGGTCTCTCCTTCGTGGAGGCCACTGCCGTCATTTCCAATGGTCGAATTACACCGGAGGACTCCGGCCTCTGGAAAGATTCTCAGATCGAGCCATTGAAGAGGATCGTGGAGTTTGCTCATAGCCAGGGCCAGCTCATTGGTATTCAACTCGCACATGCTGGACGCAAAGCAAGCACTGTTGCACCTTGGCTGAGCATGGCTCGAGGCCCAGGGGCTTCTCTGAAATCGGTAGGCTTTATCTAGACGCTATATGAATCCCACCATATACTAACCATTCACCCAAGACCAATGGTTTCGAAAATGAGGGCTTTACACCGGTATGAAGGCACCCCAAATTTGACATTCACAAATTGCTAATTTATCTCAACAGCGTCACGGCTGGCCTGATGATGTGGCTGCCCCGAGCGCTATCGCCTACAAGGACAAAAACATCATTCCTCGGGAGATGTCTCACAGCGAAATTCAATCCTTCATAATGTCCTGGGGCGAAGCTGTTAAAAGAGCAGTTCGGGCTGGGTTTGATGTATGTTCACTGGACTCATGAAGTGTGCACTCGCAGCTGACCTAAATCATTAATAGGCTATTGAGATCCACGGCGCACACGGATATCTTATCCACGAGTTCCTTTCCCCGGTCTCCAATAAGCGAACTGATGAATATGGTGGGAGCTTCCAGAACCGAATTCGACTCGCACTTCAGCTGGTTGACGTGTCTCGACAAAATATGCCCGAGAAGATGCCTCTTTTCTTCCGTGTTAGCAGCACAGACTGGTTAGAGCACCTCGTAAATGAGCCCAGCTGGGACGTCACCTCTACCATTCAACTCGCCGAGGTTTTGGCGAGCCGCGGAGTAGATGTCCTCGATGTTTCTAGCGGAGGTAATGATCCGAGACAAAAGATCATTGGCGGACCAGGATATCAAGCCCCGGCCGCTCTCCAAGTGAAGAACAAATTGGGCAACCGTCTTCTTGTGGGAACTGTCGGAGCTATTACTTCCGGTCCCCAGGCTAATGACCTCTTGGGGGATGGCCTTGATATGGTTTTGATTGGACGGATGTTCCAGAAGAACCCCGGACTGGTCTGGACCTTTGCGGATGAGCTCGATGTTGATACAAAGTCAGCCAATCAGATCCACTGGGGTTTTGCTGGACGTCGTCGGAAGTGATTGCATAGCTCGTAGAAATTTCCTTCGACTGTTCAAGTGTTCTAGATAGGATATATATTACAGGGGTACCTTACGAATTATTATACATCTGTATTAGGTCTAAAGTGCAAGATCTCGAAAGATTTCATCACCACTTGTAGGGTCCTCGTCCTAGACTTGCTGAGTTCAAATCATTAGGTAGCCACCAACATGCCTGTGATCATTGAGGTAGACGAAAGCGGGTACATAATTCAATAGAGAACTCCTAGCTCTTTAGTCTTACTCATATGCTTCGTATTAGTGCGATGGTTGAAAGGCCGTGTTATCTGTATATACGCTCTGGCTTTGCCAGTGAGCTCGGGATAAAACAGGGTGCCGCGAATCCCACCTCACAGCAAAAAGAATTCGCGGAATCATCTGTTGTTCGTCACAGACGGTCAATGCCCTGCAACGGTTGCTCCAACTGATTTTTTAAATGTGGAACTCAGTCTTTACTTGGTAAAGGCATCTTGACATGAGTCCAAGCCCGAGGGCTGCCGATCCAGAAGATCGATTGCGAAAATTGCCAAGGCCGTAACATACTAATGCGCAGAATAATTGTCAATTCAGTGAATTAAGATCTCAAGAATATATAAAATTTGGTAAGGAGATTTGGGTGGCCAACAGCCTCGTGGTTACTTCACTTCATGTAGTTGGTATAAATACAACTTCAAGGAAGCTGAATTTCACCAACTCCCAATTCTGCCACTCTCTGATCAAATCTCCGGGCACCTTCTTTCAGGGTTTCTGCCAAATCTTCGCTATCCATGGCTTTATAATACTGTGCCTCTCGTTGAAGCTCAAACTTCCGAGCCTCACCGTAACTCAGACTTCTCCCCACGTCAATGGTATTCTTCAAGCTTGCCACGAGCAGAGAGGAATTGTGAGCCACTGACTCCGCAATCTGTAATGCAGCTGGCATAAGGTCATCCGGAGACTTTACCACCTGGGAAACAATGTTCCATTGGAGTGCTAAGGTTGCTGAAATGGGGAAGGAAGCAAGAGAGGCTAACTTTGCATTTGATGGTCCACAGTGTCGAGAGAGAAGTTGTGAAATGCCCCGCGTTGGATGGACACCGTCTGCGGAGGAAGTATGCATATTAGCATTATGGCATTCGAATAAAAGACACAACCAGCATAAGAAGGACGAAGAGAGACTCACACATGGCATGGTTATCCCTAAAGACCGTATCTTCGGATGCGAGGCGAATATCACAACTTAGTGCAAGCTCAAATCCTCCAGTAAAAGCAGCGCCTGGTACAAAACTAGAGTTAGACGAAACCAGTCTTACAATTCAAAAAGTACCCCAACTTACCTCTCACGCAAGCAATCACTGGGACTCTTGACTCTTGTACTGCATACATAGGGTCGATGGCCCGAATCATCTTGGATTCAAGGTTCGGTTCATCTCGGATCATATTTATATCAATCCCAGCGCTGAAAGACTTTCCTGCAGCTTCCAATATGATGACCCTGACCTGTGGCAAGTGAGTAATTTGCACACCCATCAAAGAAAGGTTGAAATATACCTGCTGATCACCGAGAGAAGAAAGATGGTCGACTGCTCTAGCTAGTGCGCCCATCATAAGAGGCGAAAGAATGTTGTGGGTTGAAGGTGAGGCCATGGTCAGGATCCATATCCCACTCCCATGTTCTCTTATTTGCAACACAGTTGTGTCAAGAGAAGCATTTTGAGAGATATCCCAGGCGCTCATAATGGGAAAAAAATTGAAGTGTTCGGATGAATTGTACTTTGACCAAAGTGCTTTGACACGTTATCTGGATGTCACCATCAATTGAATCTGAAATGGATGGCTGGAGCTTAACATGCTTTAAAGCATCATGGAAACTCCATGCCGTTGACTGTACCCATGGTCTTCATTCCGTAAAATAGAACTGTGGTTCCCCACTCCGCCCGTGTCCGATAGGACCAATTTGACTGACCTTGGTCATTCCATTTCGAAAATCTTCATCCGGGGGTGAGTTCCCAAGCGAAATATCGTTACTACCAAATGCATACACCGCTTAATATGTTCACTCTACCACCCCGTTCTCTCAGTATGACCCTCTAGGTTATATGAACCATATTTGCAGGTCGTGATATACGATTTAGAGCCAAGCTAGGTAGGTGTAAAGTTTGGTGAAGCAGGTTGAAAATGATATTCTTACACAAATCGAGGAACACACACCCTTTATCATAGTAATGAAAGTGACCATTGCCGGAGTTGGGTCGATCCCTGGTTTGAGCTTATTTCTCCAGTAAGCTGATCCTCCAGGCCACTCGGAATGCCGGGTATCTTGAAAGCAATAAAATTGGAGCGTAAATAACATGGTGTTTTCTCGTTCTACAATTAATCTACATTTCATAGTTTTATGCATTTCGATGACTCACGATGAATTCATAATCCGGTGCCGATTTTGTTTACTCCCCAACCTTAGGCTGAGATATTTAGATAGTGAGTAGGATCTCGTGAACCTACTGTCAAATTTCAAGTTTGAGTCCTCCGGAGTCGGATCTCATGCCTCACCCACCTCCGGAAGTCCTAAATGATTATTCTCCGCCACAGTGGACTACGAGGCAACCTTTTCGTTATAGGCAACCTCATATGACGTCGATCATATTATATAGAAAGTTAATATGGAGTATTGCCTAATCAGCTGTTAGTACCGGAAAGATGTGGATGCCATTCAAAAAGCTCATAGATAAGTCAATTTACCCGAGCCGGAGACTTTCAGTCTTAGTCCTATCATAAACCCGCTGGCTATAAGAACAGTACAATAAGCTGCATTCGGATCCGTATTTTCCAATGGATTTTCAACCATGTGAACAAATCAGAGCGCTCAGATGATAATCAGTGAATGGATCAGGGTGTTCAGGGGATGATTAGGATACTCAGTGAGCCCGGGCGGGCAGATCACGATGATTATATGATGGCCCGTGATCAAGTCAGGATACTCAAAGACATGCTCAGTTCTACTCGGTGATCAAAAAGCGGCAAGGGGGTGAGCACTAAAACGGAAAGGGAATAGTCCCGAGTGCCAGGCATTGTCCGGTACATATGTTAAAACTACCATCCGTACTTGGATCCAGCTTCCTTCTTGTTTCTCCGACCCGTTGCAAAGCTTTCCTCCAATGCCTCCTTCTGAGAGCTGGCAACATTGAGCAATTGCTGGAGAGTATGCTTACCCGGCGCAATGGAGCGCACAGGGTTGTGCTGTGTTCCGGCCAGCTCGCCTTGCGCCAGAACCTGGTTTGACGCGTACTCCTCGTCTGTGTTAAAGGTACGCACCTGTGACTGGGACGGCATGGCATTCCGACCGAAGAGCTGGCGTCTTTCGGCTTTGGACAAATTCAGATCGTTGGCAATGCTGTCCAATGATGATGTAGGATCGGTTGATACTGTTGCTGTTGAATGCCCAACGGCGATTGGTGCGGGCTCGGCGAGTACTGGATCAGCTGCCGATACTTCTTCACCTTCGGCGTTGTATACCAGCGGCTGGTAGGTGACTGATGGTCCAGGTGCCGGGGCTGGCTGGGAAATGGCCTCGTCCGTAGATAAAGAGAAGAGACTGACTTTGGGTTTTGGTGGTGCAGGGGCAGGGGCAGGGGCATGGGCAGGAGCTTGCTGTGGAGGTTGAGCAGGCTTCGGCGCTGCTGATGAGGAGGGTGTTGGTTGTTCAGCAATCTTGGTTGTCTTTCTCTTCTTTTGAGGTCGTCCGACGGACAACGGTCGGAACATCATCGGATTTCCTTGCAATTTGACCTCCGCTGGGGTCTTCATTGTCTCCGTCAATGCATCTGTTGAAGTGTCGGCTTTTGAATTGCTGGGTGCAGATGTGGTGTCCTCCGCGTCTCCCGCTAGATTTTCGAATGCGTAATCATTCTTCATTTCCGCATCTGCTGTGCGATCAAACCCAGGGCCTGCTCCTGTTTTGAGACTGAACGCTTTTCGTGTTGTCGCCACTGGTGCTTTCTTTTCGAGTGTTCGTTTCGGCGCTGGAAGGAAAGCGTTGAATCCCGAAAGGCCTCCTCCACCACCTAACCGAGCCTTTTTTCGCGGACCATCTTCGGTGTCGTCGCCGGATGGGTGTTCAGGTTTGATTTCTGGAATCGCGACGCGGATCTTGCCCGATTCGCTGCGCTCGACATGGAACCCAGTTTTGGAGCCGAGTTTCTTTGCCTTGCTAATCTGGGGTGCGGGCGCGGGTGTAGTATCTGGCTCAGCGTCTGAGCCTTCGGAGTCAGTGTAGCTTACTAGCGCCATGGTGGGAAAGTTATGTCGGGTTGTTGTTGTGTCCTTGGGATTTAAGATCGGAGTTGGCGACAAGTTAAATTACTTTATGCCTGATCCATCAGGCACCAATATATATTACATAATCATAACTTCCGAATCTCGAGTCGGAGAATAGACAAGGGAAAAGACATTACAGAGTGGACTAGGGGACGGGATGGAATGGTCCAAAGAGAAAAATGTCCGAAAACACAAGCTAAAGCTCAGCCTTTCGACAGTGAAACAGCAGGGATGATCGCATCACTTTGTAACGTCATCGCATCCGGGTTCTCCGCTTCTATGGAGATTAATAGAGTCATACATTGGACAATGGTGTTCATAGACATTTATCGTTAAAGAGTTGAATCATCTGAATCGAATGAACTCTAGATTGATATCTAATATATGTAGTAGTTGAGGGATTGTATGTGTAGATAAGTAAAAATCCGAGTTACTCGGAATAACGAGCATACTAATGACACAATATCAAAATTAACAGATAAATAGATTCGATTGAGACCAAAATAGAAGACTTTTAAATCAACATATTAGCTTATAATAGAGGTATAGAGGCGTTCAAGTGTATCAAACGTAAAATGCATAATGAAAGATCAATGCGTCATTCTGGCCGCTGCCCCTCCCCACTTAATCCGGACCTCCCATTCCAGCTTTCTTCCCCCCATTACCCCCCCCCCCCCCCCAATGGCCCCAAAGCCTGTCTAATCTTCTCTCCATGCCGAGTCTAGGAGGTTTACTGAAGAAGAGGCGTACGAAGGATTCGCAAGATCTAGGGAAACCAGATTCTCAGAACCACGACGGTTCAGGCGCATCCATGCAACCCGCTTCACACGCTTCGCCCCAGCACACGGGTACGGGTACGGCTACAGGTACACACGAAAATGCCACCAGTATCGACCACATTATAAACCAGGAGCAGCCGAAGCAGGAGCGTGTTACAAAGGGGAAGTACTCTCAGGAGGACTTCGAGCTTCAGCGCACGTTGGGAACGGGGAGCTTCGGCCGTGTCCACCTGGTGCAGTCTAACCACAATCATCGCTTCTATGCGATGAAAGTGTTGAAGAAGGCCCAGGTGGTCAAGATGAAGCAAATCGAGCACACAAATGACGAGCGCCGCATGCTAAATCGGGTCCGCCATCCATTCCTCGTTACATTGTGGGGAACTTGGCAGGATTCCCGAAACCTCTATATGGTCATGGACTTTGTGGAGGGAGGTGAATTGTTCAGTCTCCTGCGCAAGTCACAAGTGAGTGATCCATGACCACTTCCTTCGGTCTTGTGTGTGAAACAAAGAACTCATCTGTCATTAGCGATTCCCGAACCCGGTGGCCAAATTCTATGCCGCGGAGGTTACCCTAGCGCTGGAGTATTTGCACGCACATCAAATCATTTATCGTGATTTGAAGCCAGAAAACCTTCTTTTGGACCGTCATGGTCACCTGAAGATCACAGATTTTGGATTTGCTAAAGATGTGCCGGATATTACTTGGACACTTTGTGGTACCCCCGACTACCTAGCACCCGAGGTTGTCTCTTCCAAGGGATACAACAAATCAGTTGACTGGTAAGCTTGCTTTCAACGCTTCCGTCGAATTGTTCTAACTGTCCCAAGGTGGTCATTGGGAATTTTAATCTTTGAAATGCTGTGTGGATTCACTCCTTTCTGGGACAGTGGATCTCCAGTCAAGATCTATGAGAATATTCTGCGCGGCAAAGTAAAGTATCCTCCATACTTGCACAACGACGCAGTCGATCTGCTCTCTCAGTTGATCACATCCGACCTCACCAAGCGCCTCGGCAACTTGCACGGTGGCCCGAGTGATGTCAAGAACCATGCCTGGTTCGCCGAGGTAACTTGGGACCGACTAGCTCGTAAGGATATTGACGCGCCATATATCCCACCCATTCGCGGTGGACAAGGCGATGCAAGCCAATATGACAAGTATCCGGAAGAGACAGAGCACTATGGCCAGGAAGGAGAAGATCCGTATGTACTTGTCTCCACGCCATCCGCATACCTGACTAACTCGTTCCAGATATGGCCACCTTTTCCCCGACTTCTAAGGTGCTTGTATGATTTATGACGCGACGAAAAGTCCTCTGGGGGAGGGCCGGAACTGATTGACCCCGGGAGGAGTCGTGAAAAACCAGGCGCCATTATATGAAAATCCATACTTTTCTATATGCACATCATTTTTCTTAGCAATTACGATCGAATTTTTGTGTTTTTTTTCTCTCTCTCTTTCAATTGCCTGCTCGATGTACAAATGGATTCGTCGTGAACCCTGTTCTATTCCCAATCTCTCCCAACCACCGGGGCACAAAAAGCCACGCCCATATTATACACGGGCTACCAGGCCGCTTCTATCGTACAGTAGTTCATTCACAGAGGTCTGCGTGTCTTTTGCTTCTTGTTTCGTCCTTCATCTTGCTTTCTTCCGATTTGAGGATGGATCGGAGTTAGCCCAGGATTCCGCTGCCGCCCTCGGGCATGCCGGTAGCCATGGAGGCAATGGCAGCAGCATCCTGACCACCCATACGCTTGGTCTCCACACCGACACGGGCAATGTAGGTCTTGCTTGTGGTGTTCCACATGGCGATGTACTTCTCCATGCAGCTAGACAGGCAGGTGTTCTCCTTGGCCGAGAGTGAGGTACCGGGGGTAGGAACGCAGGCCTTGAAGCAGTGCTTGTTGATTTTCTGCGGTTGTTGTCAGTTCGTTTCCGGATTTGGATATCAAGGGTGGTGACGTACTCCGATCAGGGAGCGGGCGTTCGACATGGCGGCTTCCTGCTGGAGCTGGCGCATGACAGCTGCCTTGATCTCCTCGGAGGTCTGAATGGGAGCAGCGGAGCCGGAACCGAAAAGCGATGACATTATGAAAGAATGAGATTGGTGGAAAAGGTGTAAATGAGATGGGGTTGAATTGGATCGAATCGAAGAAAGTCGGCGGACTTCAGGATCTGAGGTGCAGGGCTGTGGCTGGTGTTTTACTGCGCCACATCCGATGTGGACACCTTAGCATAACAAGCTGTATACTTCACCTCCTTGTCTCCGCGCCTCAAGAACTTTGCCTATTCACTCTTTGTTGTCGATTTTACTCGACTTTTTTTACGGCCTCTTTTCTTCTTTCCTACTCGCTGGGTTTTCGGGTCCTGGCGACACCGTACCCCGTACTCCCCACCTCCAGTCTATCCTTGAAACATTCTGGGCTCCCCTCCATTGAGCCCTAATACAATTCCACAATGCGTCTTCCGTCTATTTCGTCACTTCTCTGCTTCGCGGGCCTGGTCGCCTTACCCGTGAATGCCTATGACGACCCAAATATCAAAAGCATCCCCGTATGTGCTCAATGTTGACTCGATTCCAAGCCGAGGTACTGACTTTGGACGTCTGTTAGCTTCGCACCCACAGCCTCTCTCCGGTATGATTATGTCCTGAGCCCAGCTTGTCTGCGACTGCCGAAAACAGACCACGCATAGCTCGTTTTCCGAGGAAGAATATCAGTATTGACCGCCATTAACAGCCATACCTCGATTCGGATTTCCAAAGCCGCTGGTTCGACTTCGGAGGAGATACAGTAATCCGCGCTGACAAGTAAGGATTCTCTGACGTTCTGGTGGAATTCCTCATGACCGCCAATGCTGATTTTCGTCTTTGTGTTCAGATACGTCCGCCTCACGGCTGACCGGCCCTCGCAGCAAGGATGGATCTCTTCCCGCGTGCCTCTTACCGCAACCAATTGGCAGGTAAATACACGGTCCCCGCGAATCAAAATTTGCGCCAAAAGCTCACGTATATCCCTACTAGATTGAGCTCGAGTTCGAGATTCACGGCTCCGGTAACTTGCATGGTGATGGATTTGCGCTCTGGCTCACGAAGGAGCGTGCCACCCAGGGTCCTGTCTTCGGTTCGACGGATAGATTCGAGGGTCTCGGTATTTTCTTTGATACCTATAAGAACAATCGCCCCGGTGTCTCGTTCCCTTACGTCATGGCCATGATGGGTGACGGGCAGACCACCTACGACCAGGCGCATGATGGCAAGGCGAACGAGCTAGCCGGTTGCTCTGTGAGTTGAATTGATTAGCAGATTAACATTATTATTTTTTTGGATATGCCTCTAACTGTCCACAGGCTCGTGGTCTCCGCAGCGCCCCCGTCCCCACCAAAGCCCGCCTTACCTACTTCCAGGACAAGTCTTTGTCCCTGGAGCTGCAGTACAAGAGCGAAGACACATGGACCGAGTGCTTCAATCTTTCTGCCGAAGATTCCAACATCGCCATCCCCTCCGTCGCATATTTGGGCCTCTCCGCAGAGACCGGCGAGCTGAGCGACAACCACGACATCATCTCCCTCAAGGCTGAGAACCTATACTCCCTTAACCGCAGTAACAACAACAAGGGCAAGACCACGGAAGACCGGTCCAAGGGCCGTGTTCGCCCCTCCTCCAATCCTGTCAAGGAGAAGAGTAGTTGGTCTTGGTTCCTCTTCAAGACTGTTCTGTTCTTCGCCGTTATTGTCGGTGGTTACTTTGGCTGGACGGTCTACCGGACCAAGGCCCGGTCATCGCGTTTCTAAATTTACGTTGTATGGATATTTGGCAAGGCACAGGATTTAAACCTTTCTCCTGTGCGATTCAAGTTGGTCTCTGGGGTTGCTCCAGTTTCTGTCTAGCGAAAGGGATCTTGCATACATAGCCCGTTTGAAGCTCTTCTTTTTATTCTGATCTACAATAGTTCTTGTTATCTTTTCTGTTCATCCTTGAAATGAATTAAAGTCATGATCATTCAAAAAAAAAAAAAAGGGCTCTACAGTATGCAGCATGATGCTCGGGGTATCAATGGTATATAGTACAAGTAAAAATCAAGACGCCACCTCGTCAGTTCTGCCGTTCTCTCTCCTCATTCCACAAGCGGTCCACAATCTGGAAGACCTCCGTGACACTGCGCATCACAACATCATCAATCCCCAACGCGCCATACCGATGCTGAATCTTATCAGGATGCCAGCGAATACGCTCCGCCTTAAGCGTACCAAGTAACTCCGCCGGCGCCGGAGCATGACGAATGAACTCCTCGACGGCCTTCGGCCGAACATCAGCCCTCTTCCCAGAGCGAACAGGCCAGAAGATCAAATTGCGCAGCGACTTGGTAGTAGACCCCTCCGCAGCCTTTCTGATTGTCTCCCACCTCTCCAAATACTCAGCCCAAGGCGCACCCCACTCAACCTTGGCTTTCTTGCGCTCCGCGCCTCGCCGTAAACTTTCATCCATTGCGCGCTCAAACTCCTCCCTCCCAGACTGCGCATTCCGCTGAGCCTCCTCCTTCCTTTTCTGCTGCCGCTCAGCACGCAGACGCTCCTGTTCCGCAAGCATGCCTTCCCGTGTCCGCTCCCACATCCGACGACGGACATACTCCACGTATTCTTCCTCGGTCATTTGCTCCAGCTCGCCCTCCGGGCCCCGTTGAACATCGGGCACGCGGTAATTGTGGATTGGCTGGCCGTAGACGGATTCCCAGTATGCTGCACCTTCATCGTCGCCGAGGGCGTCGAAAAGGGATTCTCGGAATGTGTCTCTGGTTGAACCGAAGGGATCTTCCGCTGTAGGCTCGGGTCGCTTCTCGCGATGGCGCCGCTTGGAGGGTTCGCTGTCTCGTGTCCGTGATCTGTGACGGTGGGTTCGTTTTCGATGGGGGCGACTGCCGTCTTTGAAACGGAATGCCCGGCTGTGACTTGTGCGGGTGTGTTCTGTTGGAGCGGGGTTGGGGTTGTGAGATTCTTTAGAGTCCTCGGCAGGTTTGGTGGCTTGGGGTTGCTCTGGGGGGTGGGATGTCCCAGGCCCCTCAGTCGAGGTGGGTTTGGGGTGTTCCATTGCGAATATATTCAGTTGACGAAGCGGCTCCAATCGGCGGATCTCATTGTTTGGGAGTTGAGTAAATCATCGGGTGAATGTCAAAAAAGATAAATGAGCTGCGATCTGGAAATCGCGGAGATAACGTGCCTTAGTCATCTTATCTCCACTTGTAATCAGTAACTATGCCGGGACACTATAATTTGAATTTGTATACGAACAAGAATAGCCGGCCGCTTATACGGCCTGCACGTAATATAGGTCACGGATTTTATATTTCACAGTATTTATAGTCCTATAGGAGTCCTATCAAAGTCCCATAGAAGCGGCCTGGTATATCACTCCTATCTCTTGGCACTCCTATAGGACTATATAGGAGTCCCATCTAGTCCTCTAGGAGTGGTCCCATAGGACGTTTCTTTTATATAGAGACTAATACTTGCCAAAGGGAAGTATTTTCAAGGAATTTCATCGACCATATATGCTCCCCTATATCGTATCATGATAATAACTTCTTCAATGCTTCCGTGGTCCTTTCTAGAAGTGTGGGGGTGATATATACTATGGTAAGTTAAAGCGGATTAACTAGAATATAAGCCCTAGAAGCCATCGTATAAAGTGCTAGGAGGGGTTTTAATAAGTTATAAATACTAAAGACAGCAAGCTAGGCGTGATATATAATAAGTACCGTATAGTTAACTAGTTACGAACACTATTTTTATCTGGTAGACCCTCACGGATGTTGATACTACAAGGATATTTTCATCGAGTTGGAAGACCGAAACTTCTATTGATTTCCTATCCTTGAGCTGGCTCTCGCCTTCAACCTCTAAACACCCTGTTGGCCGCCAACCGAAAAAAAATGTCTGACAATAAAGGAGACGATGGAGCCGCTGGCTCTCCTCCGCCTGAAGATCTAAGCTCGAAAATCTCCCCGTTCGTCCTGAAGCTAAGGTCTGCTCCTCCTGGCTATTTCTTCCAACCGGAAAGGCCACCACCTCATATAGATTCATTTGCTGCGCCCACTGGCCCTTATTTCTTCTACGGTACCCTGTCTGATCCCGCTATGCTCCGAGATGTCCTTGGCTTGGAAACCGAGCCACAACTTCGACCCGCCACTATTATAGGCTACGAATGCAAGCTATGGGGCCAGTATCCAGCTCTTCTAGATGCCCCAGCAAAGGCTGTTAATGGTGCTGTCTATCATGTCAAGATAGAAGAACATGGCGAGAGGCTTGCCAGCTATGAAACGGACAATTATCGGGCCGATCCTTGTCGCATCAACTATATCGACAGGAATGAGCCCTTGGATGACCTTGGTTATGTTTTCAAATTTGTCGGCAATGTCAGAGACTTGAGTGACGGCACTTTTGACCTGGGGACTTGGCTAAGGAGGGTGAAGAGGGTAACTGAGGACCTATCAGATGCTAAGTAGTTGCAGGCAAGAAAAGCATGTATCATGACCCCCAGTGCTAAGAAATGCGAAGTTATAATAAAACAGTAGAAGTTCTCCAGCCGCGTTTCTTTTGCGCTTCAATTGCGTTCGGTCTCAGCTGCTGATATCTGCTTTCATTGCAATACCTAAGGTATTCGCGCGTCCACCTTCCTCCCGCTTGTCCGCCGTAAAAGAGGGAGAAGGGATGATGAAAAAAGAGGTGATAATATGAGATGATGGCCCCGGGACACGCCTTCCCCAAAGTTGGCATCTGCCAACAGGTGCCAACTTTCGGCCTGGGGAAACTGCGATACGGACATACCTAGGTACTCTGTACAAGGTTTTATTAAGCCCTTGGACTTTGACTTGAACATCACACTTGGAAAATCTTATAGAAATGGTTGAACTATATAACGGCTGTCTCGAGTCTCCTGGAAATTACAAGGTTGACTAGAGGAACACACCGAGTAGACCGGGTTTATATAAAAGATATTAGTATATTGGCACCAACAATAATCTAGATAGCCACCTAAGGTTCTCTAATATCCCAACTTCTTGTCTATTAGTTGAACTTATACTAAAATCCAAATACAACTTCAAAGCTTGATTTAAATGTTGACTTTCAGCGGCACCATAATGTAGATACAACTCTAATGAGATGACCCTACCAATCCTCCTACAGACTGACGAAGCTCATGCCTCGAGAACGTTCGCTTTGGAGTGCAGATCTCGACCTCATCGGTATCATAGCCAACAAGCTCGCGTGGGACCAAATTGATGTCAGAAGGTAGCCCCCATAGCCGCACAAGCTCCATAAGCTCCACTCCATGTCCAACGGCCTCTCATTCTTATGGCTATCACCCCGCCATTACACTGTCTCTTAACCTTGAATTTCATAAACAGAACTCTTCCAGTGCTGAATGTAGGAGAGATTGAAAATCACCACATTACGATCTCACTTTATAGGTCATTCATTCTCAAATTTGGGGGTTTGAGGCTTCATTTTGTTTGTCTAGCTATTGTTTAGCTAGATTATTCCTTACCTATGGATTACTGGTTAGCTATGCCCTTGAGTGGTGCCCCTGCCCGGAAAATAGTAAGATCCATACTAGTACTAGTGCTATGAGAGATTGGGAGATTGAGAGTTGGGGCGCTCTGCTCACCAAAAGACAGAGGCAGTGGCTTAGGCTCTTGGGCAAGATATTCCTGACACTCGCGACTCTCCGGGTGACTTGACTTCGAGATCTATAGGATGATCCAAGACAATCCATTTAACTCTACCAGCTTCTAAGTATTCAGCTCGTACCCATTGTAGGCCCTAATTATGTACCAAAAATTTGTAATAGAGCCATATAGGCAACGTAGATGGGTGAGTGACTTTGACTGATCCAGCATTTCACAGCTCTATATTAAGAAGACTATCCCGCGCTCGGATATCAGAGATTCGAGGAAAGAAAGAGATATTGATATCCATACATCCAATCCACATCAACCATCCCGGGGTTTGGCACTCGTGCCGAGTACCGAACGACTTATACGGAGGTCGTATGCGAGACCTTAATACCGACAATAATCCGGACAGCTGAGGTACTCCAACATCCTCACTTCTTGCTTGTCGGTTGAATCCATACTAAAATCCAAATGTAACTGAAAAGCTTGATTGAATGTTGAATGTTCATTGTTGAATAATGCCTGTACAACGCCATTACTAACCCAAAGTCCGTGTAACCCCCCCCCCCCAAAACGCAATTCCATGTCCGAAAGAGCAGATAATCAAATACGATAATGTGCCATGTTCTTCTTGATCTCGTCCACGATCTCCACAGCCTCGTTGGTACTCCTTGCTTCAAAGTCATAGCGCTTCTGCTCCGTGGCATCATTACCGCGCACGATCATCACTCGGAAGCTCTTGGGGTGCCGTCGGCTGACCTTAGATCCAATCACATCGCTAAAGCTGATCGACCGGGTCTTGCCACCAGACGCCGTTTTGCCCGTATCACCGGGCACAATATGCATGTAATCATTTTCGAACGTGAGAATCCGGTGGTTGGATGCTGTGAAAGACATGGGTTGTTTGCGGAACACATGGTACCGGCGGTAATATCCGCCTAGATGATCTTGTTTCTGAGAAGAGGAGGGTAACATGCGCTGGGCGCCCTTCTTAGCCTCCTTCTTGCTCTTCTTGGAGGTTGTCGGGTCGGCGGTTTCCACCATCAAAGGCGCGTTTGGTGATGAGCTGCCTGGTGAGGTTCCGAGTGCAAGGGGCCCGCCGCCGAAGCGACGACGCACCAGATCAAGTTCGGTGATGCTGCCCAATGCCTCCACTGTGCGGTCAAGTGGTGCAATCGTGTTCGACCCCATCACCTTTAAGAGGTAGTTGCCCTTATCCTGGCCCCATCGTTTACATACGGAATCCAGGATCTCGGCTATGTAGCTGTCGGTAGATGTGTTGATGGTCATGACATGTGCGGATGCCTCCATGTTGATGAAGCGAATCTTCAATGTCTTGGAAACACCGAGACGGGGAGTGGCATGCGAGATAGGTACCGCGGGGCGGTCAGCAGGAGTAAGAGTGCTGTGGTTGAGCGCAGACGAGAATGGCTGGCCTAGGATGGGGTTCGCTCGGGCTGGTGTGGTTTGAGGGGTGTTTTTCTGTGCAGCGGGTTGAGTCCCCGGCACTGCAAGATTCGCCGGCTGATCCGCCTCTTCTGACCCAATGCTTGAACTAAATTGTGGATATAGGCGTTCATTCTCCTCGAACTCTGATTTCGATGCTTCAACCAGTGCGAATTCATCGTACGGCTTGCCCCTTGACCGTCCTCGGGACTTGGCAGATTGGTTGTTGTTTGACGTGAAATCCGTCATTGGAAGAGTCCGCCCAAGCGCTGGGAAGTCATATTCGACTTCGCCATCATCGACCATCCGTAGCGTCCATCGGTTCACGGTCAGATTTTCGCGACTAATTGCTGGACCGCGAGCGTCCGCCGAGTATTTCCATAACGCAAGCCCAATCGTCTCAGCAACAGTCACCTGTGCGGGCTGTTCTGCAAGCTTAGACTCGCGTGTAAGTGGCAGGTCCAGCGGGTCTTCAGGGTCGCTTGAAAAAGGAACGTAGATCTTCAAATACAACGAGTCCTCTTGACCTCGCCCAGAGAGCACCACGAATTTATCCACTGGATTGCTTGGTGCTCGTTTCCGGGACGTAAGCTGGCTGGTTAACAAGCTAACCGGCTGTAACATGCTAATAGGCCGTGGCGGGGGAAGGTCTTGCAATGCAGGAGCCGGAGTGCGATGCTTGCGCGGTGAATTATTCTGCGGCCCGGTGCCAGAGGGTAGCTTGTTCATCATAGCCATGGGCGAGGACAAATTCAAACCGCCCGTCACACCTGCCAGCAGCAGGGAGCCAGATCCAGCCGTATTGTCAAAATCAGAGGAAATTGCAGACCCAACAGACTCGGCACCGGAGTCCTCGTCCTCGTCCTCCTCGTGGAGTTCCCCGAGGGCCAGGCTCTCTGCGCCTCGGCTGCCAGTTCGCTCACGCCGTCTGCGCGAATACTCGACGACCTGATCACTCGCGGAGAATTGAACTTGTCCTTGTTTGTAGCCTCTGAGATCGGTTTCGTTATCCGTGGAAAGATCACTGCTAGTAGTTGTATCTCGACGGGGGCGTGGTTTTACTTGGCGGTATTGATTTGCAAGGTTTTGTGTTGACGCGGATGTGATCATCACTTCTGGCCGTTCACTCGGGTCCCCAGAACGTATTGGAGAGGAGTCGGCCCGATCTCGGCGGATGGGCATCTTGTCGAATTTGATCTGATCAACGGCACTGTTCTTTGTCAGATAGGAAAGTAGAATACCACGCAATAATTCACCAACCTGCCAACGTTGTCTCCATCGTCGTCGCTGTCATCACTCAGATCGCTGCTATCGTCGTCCTCTGCTTCCGCTTGTCTCTGGACCTCTTGTTGCCTTTCCCGTCGAGTTTTCTTCTTTCCGCCGCGTGCGTGATTCCGCCGCGCAGTCATGTCCGTATGGCTCTTGCCGGTCACCATACCGCCATCGTCCTCGCCATCTTCCAGGCCTAGACCTTGCAATTCGTGGCGCTCGGGTTTTGCATTTCGTTCTGCTAGCCTATAGTATTCAGACGAAACGTTCGCCGTTGTTGGAATGGGTGGGGAGTAAGTGCGCTTCAGGTGGGAGGAGCTGTGTGTGTTGGGGTACGCCGCGGCGGTTGACCAGCCCGCCGCACGGAAGCCAGGTGTATTCAGGACGGAGTCATTGACGTTGATAAGTCGGTCCCCGATTCCATCTTTGATTGTCGAGAGATATGAGGAGCGTAATTGCCAGATCGTGAAGCTATACTTGCGTTAGTCCTTGGAGACCTTTCCGCGGCGATTTGAGGGGGCGGTCTGCAATTCCGGACGCGACTTACTCTTCATTGTGAAGAAGAGACATATTCTCTGCTTTCACGAGGACATATGTCTGTAGTAACCCAGAGGTGTGCTGCGTAGTAGCGACCGAGGTCTGAACGATCACAGCAACTCGAGCAAAAGGTGCATGCTAGTGGTAATAAAGGGAGGGATGAAAGCGAATGAGACTAGCTCATATGGCCAATACAGGACCAGCCTGGAAAAACAGATCAAAAAGATAAAGATATCAAGGAAGGAGAGAAAGGAGAGAAAGGAGCGTTGTATGCCAAAAGCAAGAAGAGAGGGAACTTTGGTGTTCTCCACAGATCATTTCCCCGCCAAGGGGGTCACCATACCAACTTCTCAACTACATCGATGTGTACATACAGCACTTCACCAATTATTTATTGCTACACAAGTGGCTATGCTCTCAATTGAGATTCAAATAGCCGGACAAGACTAAGATCCTTGAATACACATATCATTCATATCGTACCTAGAAAGAAAACACAACGCTTTTCCCAAGGCCAGTGAGCTGGTTAGCCGTCGCCAATGCCTCCATTGATCTAGATCGAATTTGCCGACAACATAGCGCCCGTCTTCTTCTTTTAAGGGAAGATTCCCCTTCTCTACCATCTTGCTCAGTGCGAGAATATCACTTCTAATGTTGCGGACATCTTTTGTATAATTGCCTGTCCAGGTTATTGCGGAGATCCTTTCGCAAGAACCGTTGTGAGTCAGTGATAGGATCTGATTGTGATCCACGAGCTTCGCATCATCGTGAGAGTATATTCAGTTAGCCAAAGGTCCTCATCATCCAGGGATGTCTTTGGTAACCAAGTAATGTATTACCCATAGCCAAAGCTACCATGCAGGCAACAGCCCCGTTTGGAGAAGTGGCCAGATAAATCAACACCATTTCGCCGGGCTTCACACCAATGCTAGACAGTCCACCAAAAGGCTAAAGGAAGGTGGCAATCGCACAGAGTTGTTCTATGGTATATGCAAAACCTCACTGTCTCAGGTCTCCCATAAGCTTAGCCTCATCCAATGCATAGCAGTTCTCCACTGGTACCCTTATGACCTCCACGTATGAGCCATCTGCAAAGCCGCTAGAGGCTAGTAGTTCTCTGCTATGAAGATCAAACCTATGATATGATATACAGGGTTGGAAAATCGAACTGTCTCTAGACTATCCCTTCCTTTCATGACTGAGTCAAAGAAGACTAGTTGGCCAACCTCCAAAGTTATTGCATCGTCACCGACCCGGCTCACACGGGCAATTCCAATTGAGCGGTGAATAAATGGTTTTTAATGAGAAGATCTCGTAGGGTTGTGAAGTTCTAAGCCAAGCTTGCTGTAAGAGGGGGAGTGGCGTTGGGAGGATACGCAGAAGAATGCTTCCTGGCAGTAGGGATGGGATAGGGACTTCTTCAACTTGGGGTTCAGTAAATAAAGCAGGTCTAAGAATGAGAGCATGATGCGTGGGATGGGCCCTCGGAAGGATTTTTCTGTGAGATGTTTGGATGCAGAGTATCTAGAGGATCTATAGAAAGAAGAAAGACAGTTGAGTATTTACATCCATGATTAGCGTGAATATCTGACGTACTTGGTGTGACATCGTCAAAGACACCATATTCAGGCATAGAAGTCATCTTGGCTGCAGGAGCAAGCCTGCATAAAACAAGAGTCGAGACAGCAACAGCTGAGATGAAAGAGGTATAAGAGATAACAAATGAGCACGCCACTTGCGAGGGGTCAGGCTTAGCGGGAGAACAGTGAAAGAAGAAAGAGAAATACGAAGACATGTCAAGATGTAAACAATTAAATTGGTGTGCTCAGAGATATCAGATTGAAATGCACCAACCCCATTAAACGCATGCTTCTTAACAAATGGATGATATGTTACAAAAATAAGAATCTTTCAAGCCTTGGCCTTGGCTCTACTCTTACGAGCCTTTTTCGGCTTTTCCTCCTCGGCATCAACATCATCATCGGCCTTCTTCGTCTTCCTGCCCTTAGCCGGAGCCTTCTTTTTCTTAGGCAACGTCACATACTTGTCCTTCTTCAGATCAAGTTCTTCCTCGTCGTCATCCTTGATCTCTTCGACAACTTCTTCTTCATCGGATCCTTCAAGGGCATCTTCAATATCAGGCTTCTCCTTCTTCGCCTGCTTAGGTGCCACGACACTGCTGGCCTTCATGAATGGCATGGGGTGCGAACGCGAATTGTACAGACGCGTGAAGGTGGCTTTGGTCTGTGTCTCAAGTTTGATTTTAGACTCATCCATTGGGCCGAGTCCTAGTTCAACCATGGAATCGAAGTCCTCGCGAGTGAGATAGTATTCATCCATGAGATCAATGACCGAGTCGACGCAGTCCTTGCCTTCGTCCATCATTCTGCGTATCATCTTCTCCTGGAGCAAGGGCATATACTGCTGACGGATCTCATCGCGGTTACCTGTGGTACGAAGACGCATGTGGCCCTGTATTTCCTTGACGTATCGTGATAGTTTGCCTGGGGGATAAATTAGTTAGAGAGTGTCTACAGACGATGGGTGAACATCCAAAACATACCATGTTTGCTGTTATTGCCCAGCCAGCTAGTAAATGCAGGCCGCTCATTGAAGTTTCCATACTGGAAGCTGGCCGGCCGCACGAAGCTGAAGATCGCATGGGTGGGCATAAGACTCCATTGCTGCTGGGTGCCGTGGATCATGCGGTCGACAAGGTCACCATCACTGATACTCGAGGCGGCATTATCCAGCAATTCAAGCGACTTCAGTCGCTGTTCCTGGCCATGATATTTGCCTGCGAGAGCGGGTTTGGTCTTGAGGTAATTCTCCTGGAGCATCAGGTAGCTGAACTCGTGGTCGTTGAAATAGAGCTCCACCTTGTCGTTCAAAGTAGCAGTGGAACTCGGGGAAAACATCTGGGCGCTTAGAATTTTGCTGACAATATCCCACGGCTTGAGGATGATATTCTTCTCCCACGACTTTGACATCTGCTTGCCTTCGTCGTAGTTGAGACCCTTTTGATCCAGTCTTGCGGTAGAAAGCATGTTGATGACCTGGCGGATATCGGCATGTGTTCCTTCAATGAGGCCGTCAAGGACAGGCGGCGGAATCTTGAGGCCTTCTCGGAAACAAATAGTGGACAATCTTGCCCGAATTTGCTCTGCAGTCGGGCGTCTGAATGGCACGTCATAAGTGATGAAGTCGAAAGGTTTCATTTTTTGAAGCTTTCGCTCATTGCAGACGAGGATGATTGGAATCTTAGTCTTCTTGACAATTGCTGCGACAGCTCCCACACCTCCACGATCACCGGCAGACATGCCATCAACCTCATCCATGATGAGGACGAGCTTTTTCTTTTCACTTTCCACCTTCTTGCCTTGTCCGGCAAAATATCCTTGCAGTGATGTTGTATCTAGAACACCCAGGGTAGAGCTCTCGACAAGCTTCTTACTTCTAGTATCACTGGCATTGGTCTCCACGATATCGAATCCTTCCAGCTTTGCCACGAGATGGGCTGCTGTAGTTTTTCCGATTCCTGGCGGACCATGAATAATAACAGCACGGTATATCCCCGAACCGTCTTTACCACCTTTTTTGAAATCGGCCTGGGCATTGGCATGCCAGTTTCGCAGCCAGTTTTGAATCTTTTCCACAGCACCCTTATTACCACAGATCATACTGGTCGACGTTGGGGCATACTTTGTGGTCCAGAGATCGCCAGATGATGCGGGCTGTGAGCTTGGTGGAGTCTGAGACGCGGTGGCGGTGGTCTTGGGTCCTTGAGCCGCGGCCGTCTTTCGTTTTTGCACTTCTCGTTTCTTCTCTTCCGCATCAATTTCGGCCGCCATGGCACGGACCTTGGCCTCGTCGGCTTTCAGTTTCTCGGCGTACTTTTCGGCTGCCTTTCCATCACCGCCGTTGGCAGGCAGTCGTCGAATTAATTCGAAGAGACCGTCCTCGTTGATGGTCTTGATCTTGTGCTTCGCAATGGTCTCAAGCTTCTTTGGGCCGGCATCACCTCCAAGGACCACATAGCTTGTTTTAGAACTAGGAGCTCCAACGACTTTGCCCCCATACTTCTTCACCAATTGCGCACCCTCTTCGCGACCGAGGGATTCCAGAACACCAGTGAAAACAAACGACAAGCCAGCAAGGCAGTTTTCTTGTCCAACGGGCATTTCCTTAGTCCCAGTCGTTACCGGATCCCGGCTTTGCTGTGCTCCGAATTTGAATTTCTTTGGCTCTCCCTTAGGAGGTTCTGGGGCGTCAATCGTCGGAATACTGTCGAAGATATCTTGGAGCTCTTTGCTTTCTGGTTTGTCCTCCGTTTTAGCCTTTTTAGGGCTGGCCTTTTGCTTCTTCGCAGCTGGTGATGCCACGGCCTTGGCCTTTGGGGCTGCCTTTTTGGTTTCCTTTTTGGGTTCTTGGTAGTCACCATCTTCATCCTCGTCGATGAGAGCTTCGGATTTGCGCTTGCGGCCAGGTCGAGCCTTCGGAGCAGGAATCTTGGGGAGATCTTCCATGACCACATCATCCTCGTCATCGCGAGAAGATTGCTTTTTCTGTGTCCTCTTCGATGCTGCAGCGGCTGGTTTCACCTCGAGCATTTCGAAGTCACTGTCCTCGTCGCTATCATCCCCGGCCACATAAGCGTCCTCTCCTTTGCCGGCCTTTCCGTATTCGGTTGCAAAAATGTCATCGGCGCCAAGGTTTTCATCCTCGAGGACGTTTGTGGCTTTCTTTGTTGATCCTCGGGTAGTGGTTCGTCTTTTATTCACAGGTTCTTCGACAGTCTTCTTGGGTTTGGGACTTTCGGCAACAATCTTGGCTGTATCGGGCTGAGCTTGCTCGGTCGGTTTGGCAGGTCGTGTCTTCTTCTTACTAGAGGCGAAATAGTCGGAGGAAGTTGTAGGTTCTTCCTTAGTCTCTTCCGGCTTTCTGCGAAGAAAGTTCATCAGTCAAATGGTATGAGACATTTCAATCCAGCCATAGACATACGGCTGGCTCTTGGGCTTCGCTTTGGTAGCGGGCGCTTTGATGGGTGCTACATCTTCTTCCTCGTCGCTGTCGTCCACAACTTTCCTGCTGCCTGTTCTTGCGTTAGACTAGTGGTGTGGGAGTATGGATTATGAGAAGCATACGTCTCTTTCTTGTGGTGGATGAGTCCTGCATTGTCGGATTTGAAGTTAGATTATAATGATGGGTGATTCAAAGGGCGCCAGATCACATATAAAGTGACCAGAACCTCCCTCTAATAGGCAAGGCACCAGCTTACCTCTTTTTTGGCCGCGGGCTTCGCGGCGGCGTCACTGGACCCTTGACTTGGCTTGCCGCCAAAGAAATTCCGGATATCCATAGTGAGACTCGATCCGTCACACAGAATTCGGCGTGGAATAGTAACTGGGGAATTGGTTTAAGACCAATCGAGCTCTTGCCGCAGCGTTTGGTAGGTCGCGAACGACGCGCCACACTCCCGGGAGACGTGACTGGCTGACTAAGGCAGCACTTTCTTCCTTTTTAGGATTAGCGGACATAAGCTATGCACAGCTGTAGGAACTATAAGAATCGAGAAAGGAGCATAGGGTATTGCCCAACTCATCGAATAACATATTTTATGCATAATACTTCTAGAGTAAGAGGAACCACTAAGTACAATTACAAAGCCCTAGAAAAAGGCAAGGGAATTACCAGCCAGACTTTGAACATAATGTATATGTACATATAGTTTTATTTATTAGGCAGCACAGCGCAGACTTGCTCTATTAGTACAATTAGGTTGTCTCACACCAATAATGTGCTATTTAGAGCTACTCTAGAATGAAAGATGCTGTACATACATAACTGGGCTGGCATTGCGGCCTGATTTACAAGGCAAATAAATAACTTAGGGGATGTATCACGTGTATACCAACCTTCTACTTCTGGACTAGTGCCAATCATCGAAAAGTGCCGGAGTAACGAAGCCTTTCGCAACATTGGTATATCTCGCCGCCTCCCTCCTCACAATGGGTCCACAGATCAAGATGCTTACTGGACCGCTCTCCGCCTGCACGCGGCCAACCCGTACGAGTCATTTAATCCCCAGAAAATCTATTCGGCAGAAGACTAACAGTGCGACACAGTGTCGGGACCGCTGGCCACCTTTTCTCTATCACGATGCTTCTCTACCACCTCGCCCGCCCTTGATTGGCTGACCCCGAAATTCCAAGAAAAATCCAAATCCCCCAAGGGTCGCCCTCACGTCGCTACGGGCGGATCCACCAGAGGAACAACAGTCGTGTGGGGAGACTTCGGTCTGCGCATGAAAGACCACGACCGCCGCATGCCCGCATCGGCGCTGAAGATCGCTGAAGAGACTATCAAGCGGCGGCTACGAGGAATGAACTATAAGCTGTACAAGCGTGTCAGCGCCAACATTGGTGTCTACACCAAGGGTAACGAGCAGCGTATGGGTAAGGGTAAGGGTAAGTTCGACTACTGGACTGTCCGACTGCCCGTGAGCCGAATCGTCTTTGAATTGAAGGGAGATGTCCACGAGAAGATTGCTCGCGAGGCTTTCAGGTTGGCGGGCCACAAATTGCCTGGTAGGTTATGCATTCTCTACGTGTACTATTTTGGGTACGAAAGATGTTCATTCTCATTCATTAGGTCTCTGGGAATTCGTTAACAAGGATGACCCCCCTGTCGTCGGTATCACAAAGCTCGGAAATGGTGTCACTCTCGACTCTCTCAAGCGGGCGCGCAGAAACCCGCCTCTTGGTACCAACGACCTCGCTTCACCTCCGAAGAGCTCCTCCTCTAGCTCCGAACCTACCCAATAAACTGTCGTTTCCCGCATGATACCGTGTTCCCTTTTTTTTCCCATCGGTCATGTCTTTTGCTTTTGTCGTCCTCGCCAACTAAGCCCCGACACCAGACCCAGGCCCATACCCTTGCAGTCTGCGGGCTTTGGCCACGGCATCGTCCTCGTCACGTGTCGTATCTTTTGTATATTATCATCAGCTGTTTGCGTCTCTTTGGGAGCCATCGAGGCACGGGCCCCTCCGATGGATCTTTTGTCTCGATAGTCGATAGTAGGAGTTTAGACAAGGAAAATATATTCAGCATTTACCTTTACCAGAATCAGCGATTGCTCCCATGCCCAGCTTTTGGGCCTGGAAATCCTCGTCATTGTTGGGTGCCGGGCTATGTGTTCCTAGCCCAGGGCTCACTTCGCTTATAGTGTGCTTATCGCCGACTTATATGAGGTCAGTCATTGCTATACTGCACTCAGGATTATCTTCAAGGACACACCCCCCAATTGTCCGGTTTGTTTTGAGGGACTCTTTGTGAATTGTCTGATAGACTCATATCTGTACCCTGTTATGAGTGAAGAGAAATTGTAAGAGGCGGTCTTGATGCAGTCCATACTGGGTGCTCTCTCCGCCCGGTTCCATATCAACAAGTCTAGGGTCGGACATTTTGGGTGCTGTTCGTGTTGGGGTAGAAGTATAGTGCTAGGACAATGATAGTTACAATATTATGAAAATATAGCAGAAATTCTTGGTCAATAGATGAAAGCTATTCCGATATTTCTAGTGGGTGGTCAAGTTTATGGATGACGGGGATGTGATGACGTAGGTTAGGAAGACACCCGTGGACTCTGATATACACAATTCGGGGTTGATATCATTGCATCAAACCTATGCTTCTCAGAATTGACTACTTCTACAATGCGGAGACAGCTCCACTGTTGAAGTGCATATATAATTAAGAGTTTGAGATATTGATATATGCAAAGATCTTTTTACTACCTCAGAGATAGTACACAATGACAAGTGATATAACGCCAGAATCCTTTCAGCAAATGCCTTCATGCGCCCGTGAAAAAAGGAAATAAATAGGACACCTGGAGATTTCGAAAAGCATGATTCTGCTTAATAGCAGACCATAACTTCCTAGATCCCATGCTCACTGAAAACCACCTTGGTGTACAAATCGTCATTCATCCATTGTCTTGGTTTGTTTGTAGTGAGTAATCAAAAGTCCATGCCCATCAGGTAACTAGTATATTATTAGTTTTATGTCTCTGTTAAATCATCTAGGGAAAGCATACCTTTCATAGATGCGCATGAACTTGGCCACGAAGGCTTCGAGATGGAAGATTACTTTCTGTATTGGGTGCCTCATTAGCGCTTGAATTGATAGCAATAATCATCATCAATGACTTACGCTTCCCAGCTTGATGCGGTGCTCGTAGAAGGCAGACCACTTAATAACTTCTGGCTTTAGTGCATCATCAACTCGTGCAACGAGCTTGAATGTCAAGGTCTAGCGCCAACAGTTAGTATCTGGAGCATGTTTATTATAAATGTGGATACACACCTTCAAAATAGTTGTCGGTGGGATGCAATGAGTCAAAAGATCATAAAGACGTGCGCGGACCTGCAACAGTCGGGCTGGTGACCGTTCGGCCAGAATCTCATCAGCGGTGAGAGCAACGAGAGCCTCCCAGTCCGGAGGCGGGATGAGCGTCTTGTCCGTAACCTTTTCACTGAATTACGAAAAAAAAAAAAAAGGTAAGGTTCTAAAATCCAGTTTAATAAGTATCGAAGCGAAGACTCACTTTTGCGCATAAATGGACTCAAACATGAGCAGCGCACGACGCAGATTGCGTCCACTCTCCTTTGCAATCCTCTTGTTAAGAACCTCGGACTCTGTCCATCCTTCCTTTTTCCCTGCAAGGTGGAGCGCAGAGCAAATGTCGCTTTCAGTAGGCGCGGCAACCCTGACCAGCAGGGTTCGGGAGCGAATCGGTGCAATGATGTTGGAGGTGCTGTTGGCCAGGAGAATTAATCGCAGATTAGGACTGTATTTCTCCATGGTCCGTCTGAGAGCTGCTTGGGCATCACGTGTGAGATGGTCGGCCTCGTTGATCACAACGACCTTGAACCGCTGTTTCGCGCCGAGATCCACCTGTTGTGTCTGCGCAACCTCTTTGAGCAATTCCTGGACGACGACTCGGTCATACTGTCCGACGTCTGCGGGGGTAATCTCGAGATGGTATACCGACGAGACAATGTTGAATTCTAGCTTTCGGTTGCTTGTCGTTTGGAAGACTCTGGCGTCGATCTTAATCTTCTCGACACCGGGGCCGTACAGTTCTTTTAGTGTTGCAATTATGCGTGTCTTCTTGCCAGCGCCCGAGGGTCCATAGACCAGTAAATGGGGGAAATCTCCGCTTTGTGCCTATGAATGGTACCTTGTATCAAAACCGTGTTCATGTTTCCGCAGGTCAGGGTTTCTTACCAGTGAACGCAGGCGATCAGAGAGCTCGGGGTGATACGAGAGAGCATCAAGGGTGCGTGGCCGCAGCTTGTCCACAAGGAGAGCCATTTTTGAAAACTCCGCAGAACTGTTGAGAGGATTGAGGAATTGGAGTGCTGGTGGTTTTTCGATAGAGGATGCGGACTGGAGAACGCGTCCAGACACGCGCCTAATTAATCACTGGTCCGTGCACGCTCCCACTATATCAATGGATGCAGCAAAGGGCATCGAAGAGCTTAATTCGATGAAGATTGTACAATTACATATGAATAAATTCAATAATATATACAGATATATAGTTTTTCTAGGCATTTGGCAGCCTTCCGCCAAACTCCGATATGTATAGTACATGCAAAATTTGCTTTGAGAGATGAGATGAATGCGAAAGAAGCCGGACACAACACCACGCATGTTTCTTTTCTCAAGGTTGAATGTTCAAGTCTATGCAAATCTACATAGTTGAAAAATACAGTACCCCAATGCGCCCTTGGTATGAGCTTCTTATGATGCGATTGGCGTCAGAACACCGTTGTCATCATATTTCGCTTCTGCTTTGGGGTTAGATCAGGCCAAGAAAGCAACGAATAGACACAAAACTTACTGAAGAAGGTATATGAAAGGGTAATAGTATCAATACCCTTCATGTTAGGATCGGTAGCAAAGTCAGGATCAATGAAGAAGAAAACAGGCATATCGACCGATTCTCCCGCATTGAGCTTCTGCTCCTCAAAGCAGAAACATTGGATCTTGCTAAAGTACGGCGCAACCTGACCTGGCGTGACACTGTATGTTGCGACTCCAATAATATCCTGCGGGCCCTTATTTGTTGCGGTGTAGAATGCCAACGCTGTCTCGCCGGGTAGCACTCGGACCTCGCGCTGCTGGGGAGTGAACTTCCAAGGGAGGACATCCGATACCGACCCGTTGAATGTGATGCGTAGACGACGAGAGTCTGTCACTGGTGTCACACGTGCAGAGGTATCGCCGTCTCCGGTTCGGTGGGTGAGGATAGGCTGACCACCCCAACCGGTCTGTTGGCAGATCTATAATTAGGGTCAGAATAGAATTCTGTTTAGGATGTACTCTAGATCGAGTGAGAACTTGGCATACCATTTTGTAAAGAGGTACAGATCCGTATGCAAGGGCAACCGTTCCGAGGATCATACTGATGGTATAGTACCTGATCGGGGGCTTTGTTAGAACAAGGATTACCTCAAATACGGGTTCATAGGCTGCTCACATTGTAGAGGCATTGCGCTTTTGCGATTCTGGTGTATTAAAAGGCGCCGCAGATGAATTGCGTTCATGAAGCAGGAAACTCCTTGAGAAGCACCGACGCTCCACCTCAAAGACGCTCCTCTGGAGACAGGCTGAGCGCTGGGGAATCGTCCCCGTCAGCGTAGAGCGCCCTAGTGAGGGGAGTAATCGTGAAAACATGGTTCTATGACTTCAATGGGATCAGATGTTGAGTCGCATGAGATCCAGCGTATCCCCAACACGTGATGACAACTCTGATTCGACGGCTTATCGATAAGCCCTAAGCTTCGGGGTCACGTTACATCTAAACGGCAAGAGACAACGGGGTTGGATATATGGATCTTGAATTGATTCTTGATTTGCTGGTGAATATTAAGTGGATCGTGATCGTATCAAATACAAGGGCACAACTGCACCCTTCCGGCTTCCCAGCCTGCAGAGTTGGCATGATTAGCGACTCATTTACCAGTAAGAAGTAGAAGACCACGACACTGTTGGTATGAACACACTATTTGCCTTGGACATAGTACATAAATTAACCGGTACCATCAAGCTTGGAACATTTGAATGTGCATAAGGATGCAAAATTCATAAAAATAATACAGGGTAATGGTACCCAGAAGTCAGAGCCGAAGTCTAAAATAACCAATAACTAATACAACCGTTCGATGCCTTCGAAGCATCTCACTGAAAGAAAGTCTAATTCAACACACTCGATGTGATGCGACCAAAAACCCCTCGTACCATGCTGGGTCGCTCGCGGAGGCAAGTGATAAGAATAGCAGCGCTAACAGCAAATGCAACACGCTCTCGATATTGATACTGGGAAACACCAACATGCGTCAGCACCTCGTGATTGTGTTGGAACCTGCCACAGGCTAATTTGGAGAAATTGAGAAGGGGGTGTGGGGGGGGGGTGGGATGTGGGTGTAACCCTGTTGTGGACAGAGGATGCGAGGGTCCGATACGTACCTTTTTATCATACAACCGTGGCAAAACCGTGGCGGCAGCCCGGGGTGCCACGAATAGTGCTAGCTCCTGCCTCTTCCGCGTCTTTTCGACCAATATACTCCAGCCACACATGAGACATCCCGCACCGACACAAAGCCCAGAGTCCCACATCATCGGAGTGACGGTTCTCGCATCAAAGATCTTAGGGCCAAGTCGTGTCCGAGCGAGACAGACGCTGTAGTAAAATAAACTCACAAAAGATGCAAGGAAGGCAGATGATCGTGCTGCATCAGAAAGGGCCCGACGGAGGGCAGTTGCAGATTTCATCCTGCGCAGACGGAACACAATTTGTAGGGGTATATAGGTTGCACAGGCAAATTTGAAGGTTTTGGCAAATCGAGACAATGCGTGTTTCTCACAACTGGGGCCACAGCCCATGTGAACCATTTCGCAAGGAATCGGGGTCACTTTTGCTGGGTCTCCCCATACCTCTGGCCAGTTGTAGTCTTTGCACATCGATTGGAGAAGGGGTGCCTGGCCCGTATCCTTTCCATAAACGAAGACTCCTCGTCGAATACGACGCAAGGCTTCAATTAAACGCGAATCGACCTGAGCAGCTTCCCCGATCCACTTCTCGTAGCTTCTTGGCAGTCTTTCAGGGAGATAAAACCATGCCCACATGACTACAGCGGCACTCGTGGCAAAGATAGTTGCGTCGGCGAAGCCAGGGACGAGGGTTTCGACAGTCGTCCAGCGATTCTGGGCCCGGCGGCGACGGGACCAGCGACCCCATGCAGCACAAGCGACCGCATCTACAGCTCTTGTGACCATGTAGATGGTGAGGTCCATTGTCCTCCCTGCTAACTCCGGGCGATGATGCTCCAGCGGATTGGCCATGACCTGGCCAGGGTCCTTCCCCTGATCTGTGGAGTTCCGGATAGCTCTGACATCGGCTATTGGTAGACAGATGAGGTTTCTGTTCAGCAGTTGAAAACTGAACCATCCGGATAGAAAAGTGATGACGAATCTAATTAAGCGGTCGAGCCTCTGTGAAATGTGAACGTCACGTTTGGAGAGCCCTGCTGTGACCAATGCACACAGACGATACAATCCTATTGGTATTAAGGTTGAACCACCGACCAGGGAAGCACACGCTGTCGGGAAACTGTTCAGACGTAAAGGGCCAGTCAACACTTTAGCTAGCTATTCTCAAATCAAAGGTTAGCTATAGCACTTCAATTGCGCGATAGACCAGAGAAAACGGTGACATGATAAGTCGCGATAATAGGCCTATACTTAGGTGATGTCGCGACGTACCTCTTGAAGTTTCTGTTGCGCACTCCAGTCCTTAGTGCGCAGTCGGCGTACATAAGACATCAATTTCGGGGTGACGGAAGACAGGTACCCGAGGGCGTAGGCGCGAAGGAGGCTACAGTCACAATCAGCAAGGGCTCTTCAGATCATACAGTTGCACCAAGCCACAAGGGTAACAGATCGCATGGACTCACGGCTTGAATACCCGGACGTTGTCCCTTCCATGGCGTCTCCGGAGTGTAGGTTCCATGCTACCGGAAACCTTCATGTCATGATCCGTCGGGAGGTGTTCAACATCACAGTTCCCCGAACTAATCGGCGATGAGGGGTTCAGCTAACAATAAACTCCGATGGGATTCACGAGAATCTCCTCGCCAATCAGAAAATCAGGAGGTGTAAGAGCTTAATCGGTTTTATCCGTGGGTGACCTAAAAATTGCACCTTCCGAAAATTGGGTAGTATTCTCCGGCAGAGGGAAATTGACACTTGCACGATCGTTTTTCTGGACTATGTGGATCTTGAATCCCATGTAATGGGCCTGTCAGAGACTCGGTTATACCTCGGTCCCTGCCCAGGTGGGAAATTCAGAAAAGCCCCCACAAACAAGATCCAAATCCAAACTCGGGGGAGGGACCAGTCCAGTTAAGAGAAGACAGTGGACGATCATCCGAAGCAATAGGCCTTTCGGGACAAACCTTGGAAATAATCGGGATTGCGGGGCTGAACGAGGGAATATTTTAATTAAAAAAAGTCCGTGACGGAGGACGATCCCAGGAGAACTATCCAAAATAGGGAGATGAACCGCACTGACCCAATTTATCTGGTTTTTCCTTCGTAAAATAAGAATAAGAAAAGAGATAAGGAAGGGCGATGTATTCCGAGTGTACATCAGAATCAAGCGGTAATAAAGGGGTACCTGTAGTCTACTTGTGTAGTACTTGCAACACTGGCAGCACTGGCAGCACTGGCAGCGCTGGAGGGCCTCGGGAAGGGTTCTCCGGGAACATGAGCTCTTCCCCAGGAACGTATTAAATACCGGGGGGTACATTGTAAGCCCACCGGAACGGCTGTATTTCCTGTAACTTTGGTACTGTTACGTCACGCGCTCAAATTTTTGCATGTGATCAGGTCGAGGCCGAACAGGAGGATTGCTTTTGATGCCAACCTCTCCACGTATTCGTCTCGCTCTCTCTTGCTTGTAAACACTCTCTTGATCCTCTTCTATTTCTTTCTCTTTTTTGTTTCCACTTCTGCTTGACCTTCTTGTTCTCATTCCCATTGCGCCGAACCGAACCGGCTCCTTATCGAGTCGCATTATCAACTCTGGAGAACCCCGTGGCTTTGATCTACCACCCCGCGTCCCTCTTTTGTGGAGTCAAACCTTTGCTATCACCTTGATCGCAGACCGTTTGCACTTGAGTCCAAGGCATGACAGTATCGCCTTGATCCGCGCTACTCTTAGCATCAGAGTAGCAACGCTTTGGCATACAAATTCCTCTTGATATTGAACCAACCTTCACTATGAATGGACATGGGACTGAAGTTCGGACTGGGCGCACATCCCCTCCGGCTGCTCTCTTTGGATGTGAGTTGCCCCGGGCATCATTCTGTACTGTTCCCTCTCTAACCCGATTCTAGACTCCTTTCTCCCACCCATGGACACCCCCTTTGAACAGGCCCCTGCTCTTCCCCCAGGGCCCTCTCTTCTTGATGATAACGAATCCAACATGCTCGACAACTTTTTTACTACCATGAACGCAAACCACTTTACGAATGATCTCTGGATGCGACAAGAACATAAACCCGGGGCACCCAACTTTGACTGGTCAGGTGAGCTGCCACCCAACTTTGAGGGATCAACCACGTCCCTATCACAGCCTTCATTTCAGCAGCATGGGCTAGGCAAAGCAGCCGGGGGGATGGTGACAGACAACCCTACAAGCTCAGATATCTTCGCCGCAGCCTCCATGCTCTACCACAGCGGTGTAAACGGATCAGAGTTGGGATCTACATTAGCACAACAGAATTTCGCGGGACACTCTCTCCCTGCCCTTGGGACACAACGAAAAAACAATTCACATACCGGCAGTACTGCACATGGTTCAACTTCATCTCCACCCCGGGCTGATGTACCGATTGGATACCATACCTCGGAGATGTTTTTTGACATCCGTGACCCCATTCCCGTGGACCAACATCCATCAAGGAAGGTCCGCAGTTTGCGATGGGGCTCAGATGCTAGTTTCATGGATCAAGGTTATCTTCGCCCCCCTGACCAGCCCGACGAGGAACAGCGGACAAATGACCTGCTCGATCATCTCGGGTGTTTCGAGCCACAAAGCAGTGCAGCAAACACACGAGCACCTAGTCCAGAACGCATGGTTGGGGCTCCTCAAGGTTCCACTTTCCAAAGTGGTGGTGTCCTGGACGATGGCTTACAGCTTCGGAAACGCTCAAGAGTCGTGAAAGAGGAGGGCGACGAATACTCCGATGATGATGATGCACGAGCTCACTCAAGAAAATCTAGAGGATCTATCAGCAAAGGTCGACGGGTATCAGCAGACATGTCTCGAAAAGCCCGACTACAGCCAGGGTCTAAAGCTGCACGAGAGAATCTTACAGAGGAACAAAAGCGAACCAACCACATTCTTTCGGAGCAGAAACGCCGAAATCTCATTCGCCAAGGCTTCGAAGACTTGTGCACACTCGTCCCTGCGCTCAGAGGTGGCGGGTTCAGCAAAAGCGCAATGCTCACTGGAGCTGCTGACTGGCTTGAGGACCTTCTCCATGGGAATGACATACTCCAGAGCCAATTGCATGACTTGAAGGGCATTAATGGCTTGGTTATGCCGCGTTGATACCCTCTGTGACACGATCACAACGTTAATTTATGATCTCATGGATAGCCCCTACCTCTTTTGTTGGTGGGGATTGCAAGCGTTTCAGCGGGTGGACAGTTTTGTGTATGTGCATCGGCGAGTGGGCATTTCATCTTCGAAAATCCCAGCCACAAGATACCTTTAGTTTTTTGCTTTTCTCTGCATACTGTTTCTTCGCCGTCTTTTTCCCCATCTAACCGCTGTAGGTGATACAAGTCATCTTCCGGCTGGTTCTCGGCAAATATCGATACCCTGGTGCATAATTCGAAAAGCCTGTATTGGCAGAACATAGTTTGAGTATTTCAGATGCCTTTTTTTAAAAAAAAAAAATGTGTCGGTACATATGTTAAGATAGTTTAGTTATGTTTCTACGTTAGCTCATCATATAACTAAGGAGTATATGACACATTGCCCTGCTAAAAGCTATGATATAGGTGTGCCGTTGCTCTCTACTATGCATACACACCTAGTTTTGAAGCTGACGTAGGTAACACTACCATTTGAAATTTCAAGGACATGTCCAGATTCTATCTTAGTCTTCGATATAAAATACTGTCAATAAAGGCTAAGACTACCAAGCCTTATCGGAATGCTGCTGGTATCTCCATGTTCTGTCTCCACCGCTCTGTTTTGCCTGCATGTGAAGACGCGTCGACGTAACTTTAATTTTGGAGCTCGACAGACCCAACACCCTCAACCTACCATTACCATGCCTCCAAAGCGAAAACACACCGACGATGTCCCGCACGAGGAGGAATCCAAGCGCTACGCCTATCTCAAACCTCACGTCCGCCGCGTCCCAGAGAAGACCATCAAGTCGAAATGGACCACTCTACCGGAACCTGTCCAGGAAAAGATCAAGGACATGTTTCACTCCCTCGAGCGACCGGTGATAATGCGGAATCAAAATGAGCGCAAACGCATCGAGGCACAGGGTGCCGTGCAAGCGGTTGTGCGGAAGTAGGGGACCATGCTTAATCTGATAGCTTCCGCAGAGCTACCACTGTCTTGAAAGAGATGATGATACTAACTGTGTTGTTTTAGTTTAGGTAAACGACTCCCGCGAATGCCGTTTCCACCCATAACGAAGGAATCCAACTTCGACTACGAATCTGCGCTGAATGAGCACGTATGTGACCCTCTACGATTGTCGACAAGTCCATCCTGATTAAATTTTTAGCGGTCGCTCGAGGCCCACTTGGCTACGATGAACGATAGCGTCGATCTATTAAAAGCCGAAATTGCCAAAGAAGAAGCGCTCCTTGCTGGGGAGACGAAGTCACTCCAGGAAATGGACAAGAATGCCAAACGGGCCGAGGCTGAAAGAAAACGACAGACTAAGAATGTATGCAGAAACTGCATCTTGCTCCAAGCGGGACTGGCTAATATTTTGCGACCGCAGGAACACCCTGTGCTCCGACAGCTGGATGCACTTCCCCAAACCGAGGGTTCTGGGTCCTCCGAGTTCATCCTTCTTGGCGCGAAAGATAGCCAAGTGACACTAGATGAGGTATGGACCGCTTGCGAACCACACATGCTCGCTCTGTCAACTGACCATTGTGTTTGATTTTAGTTGGAGACCGACCCCGAAGTCCAAGGACTCATGAAGCAACTACATGGCCATCTTCAATCCATGCAAAGCAACACCGCCCCCTTCGCAGGACTCGGCGATGCCATCACTCGTTCACAAGCTGCCTTGGATCTATACTCGATGCCCAACGATTGATCGTCCCACCGGACATCACCACACCATCCAAGCCACCAATACCGGCATTTCGATGCTTATGATTGACACATGAAGGGCCTCGGACCCAGAGTATGCACGCTTATTAAAACGTCAACCAAGTACCGACCGAGCTTGGCGACCAGGAATCACAGCGGCAATCCTTGTCGCGTGCTCGAATCTCAATGCAGTCGCTGAATAGCTACATATGGTGGAACCGCGCACGGTTGAACGCACCTTTTTTTCAATAAAGGATATCCCATTGCAGGGCGTCAAATATGAATCACACTATATTGGGAGAAGGGTAACGCGAGTATCATGCGCACCCGGTCCAATCTGAGGAGTCCTGGCTTCAAAGATGACTAGGCAACCCGAGGCCCCCCTACTGCTTGAGAGGGAAAAAAGACTAAACGGTTGAAAATCAATAAAACACGAGTCTGCATTTTTGCACGGAGTACAGAATATAGTCCCAATCCAAACCCCAATTGTAAGAATAGAAAAACGTAATTCCTCGACCGAGGTCTCGCCCCCGAAAGTGGCGTGTGCCCAAACAGCCAACCCCATGCGGAGCAGTTCGGAGGGGTGACTCCGCTTTCTCCATCCCCAATAACTTTTTGACGTTTACCAACTACCAACTGGTCTGCAGGCAGCCATTTCACCCCGGCCCTGGTGGTTCTCAACTTTTGCGCAATGTCCGAAAAGAATGCGCCGCTGGGCGTTTCCAATGTGACAAAATCCAGGTCCACTGATGCAGGGAAGGATACGAGCGTCAAGAACTCGCAAACATCTGCGGCCAAGGCCGCAACGACCGGCTCGGGGAGTCACTCCAGTCCCAAGAAGCGCCGGAAGGTGAATCACGGTAAGGTGCCGTTGCGCAGCATGCGACAGGGATCTGGGCGCGGCCGATTCTGTTGCGCATAACGATAAGAACATCTTTGCTAACGAGAGGTTTCCTCAATTCTAGCTTGTGTATATTGTCGCCGCTCGGTAAGTTTACCTCTTGGGATGTCATGATGCTTGATTGCTATACGCGATAGGCCATGGCATTAGTGCTGGCACATATCCATTGGAGGAACTGGCTTTGCTAACGGGGTTTTCTTCGCGTGGGACAGCATATGACCTGTGACTCAGTACGACCCCTCTGTCTCCCCTTTCCCCGTTCGCGACCTGTCACATCTGAAACCCTGAAGGCAGACTTGCGGAAAAATAATTACACCAGCTGACTTGTCTGAATCTATGAAGGAACGGCCCTGCACGCGCTGTATAAAGCGAAACATCGGCCACCTGTGCCATGACGAGCCGAGGGAAACTGCAAAACGAGGACGCGGTGAACACGAAAATTCTGCTGCAGATGACGAGGGCTCGTCTAACAATGAATTGGGCTCCGTTCAAGGCATGTCTGGGAGTGTCGATGTCGCCGATGCTGCTGGTCAGCAATCATTCCCTGATACCACGATCGGAATTGCACCCTCAGCTGTGAACCCGCCTTCAACGGTACCGCCTGGCAATCTTTCTGCATCCAGTCAGGGCCTCGAGCCTAAATCTCAGCGTGAGTTCGCAACGAATCCTGTTTTGCCCCGGGCTCAGCTGACGTGGTATGACAGTCATGCAATATAACGACTGGGTAGGTGGTCAGAATCAGTTCCAGGATATGCATTCTCTCCACCCGTCGTACATGTTTAATGCCCATGAAGTGACCAACGAGTACAATCTACTCGGAGATTTCCTCAGTAACAGTCTCCTGGACGATGGAGCGATGTTCCAAAATCAAGACATGCAGGGAATATACACCGATTCATCCTTGATGAATTCGATGAATGGTATGGCGCTACCGAACGGGTTACCTCCCCCGGCACAACTTCCGCCGCCAGCACAAAGCCAAGTACTGCCAGGAGACTCCATTCAACGACCAACCTCCACTGTGGGCAATGACAAAGCTCGGGAAACATACTACATGACTGCCGCCGACCCAGCAGGAACTGACCCACCAGAGGAGCGGATGAACAAGCTTCTCAAAGCCAAATACGACGCCGGTTTACTGAAACCGTTCAACTACGTCAAGGGGTATGCACGATTGAATCAGTACATGGAAAAGAACATGCAACAAATATCTCGGCAAAAGATTCTGCGGCAGCTCGATAAGTTCCGGCCTAAGTTCCGAGAACGCATGCAGAGCTTGACTGATATCGAATTGATTCTGGTGGAGATGTGGTTCGAACGGAGCCTTATGGAGTATGACCGCGTCTTTGCCAGTATGGCTATCCCGGCCTGCTGCTGGCGTCGAACGGGCGAGATCTTCCGAGGAAACAATGAGATGGCACAGCTGATTGATGTCCCGGTTGAGGGTCTGCGAGATGTAAGTTCTAAAATTGGACATCCTCATATCATATCACAGCCAGCTCACATGTTTACTTTCTGTAGGGCAAACTTGCTATTCACGAGATCATTGTCGAAGATCAATTGGTCAGCTATTGGGAAAAGTTCGGCGCTATCGCCTTCGACAATACCCAAAAGGCCATGCTCACCAGTTGCACGCTGAAGAGTCCTAATCCTAACTCATCAGGCGATGGTATTACCTGCTGCTTTTCGTTTACGATCAGACGAGACAATCACAACATGTAAGTGTTCACTGCTCACTGTCCACAAGATCCTGACGTACTGAAACTAACACTGTGCAGCCCGTCTCTCATCGTTGGGAACTTCCTCCCCATCACTAAATAGTACTTTTTGGTAGACTGTTATTTATTTTATGTCACGCAAGGATTTCTCTTTTGGTATCATCTTTTGGTTTAGTGATTCCCCGAGTTTTGTCTGTGCTCTTCACGGAAAAATGTATAGTGCTTGATTTATGTGTACAACATCGAATAGCATGCTTTGATTCGAACGATATATAGGAAGAGAGGACATCCTCTGAATGGTGTATATCGATGTATGTTCCGTTTGCAATGGTCAACAGACGACGTAAACAAGTGCACTTGGAGTTTGAAGCGCAACCTCCACGTCTCAGTTGTCTCTTTCGTCCCTCCACGCTCTTCCAACTCCAACCCTCTTCCCTCTCACTCTTTTTCTTTCTTTTCTCTTAACAGTTATCAACCTTTATCATCTATCTGTTTTCCATCTTCCTCTCCCTTTGTCTTCCAATTACCAAGTCTTCTCTATGGCGCAATTGTCAGGAACACGCCAGGCTCTGGCAGGTACGAGACGCGCACCTTGTCCCTCTGGGTGCAACAGCTAATCCCCAGATTCTTCTACCTAAGACTTTGCTTGTACCTTGCATACGAGCTTATCCACGGTCAATACTTCGACAAGTCCGCTCCTCGCCCCCAATGTCATTTTCAGACTGGATAGCGACCTCAACAGTAACCCGTTTGGTTTCGTGGTAAATATACCAAATCGCGAGCAGCTGGATCTGATTGGGACATTTCTTTGGAACGACTGTACTGATCTGATGACCTCGCGTGGTCACAACCCTGAGGATGTGCTACTGCTCGGCAAAGTGAGAGCTATCGCGTTCGCCGTCTTGAACATGGCTGTCACGCCTGATCTCTTAGGTTTTTTTGACGATCTTTAATATATGTTGAAGTGAGCCTATCTGACTTTCTATAGGGAGCCTCAGAGCTCTCGACCTGGCCCTCAAGGCAGCACGTATTTGCATCGGTATACCATGCTATATCTCACTTTATGACTTTATCAGATCTAACAACAAGAACAGTGAACCAGCAACGCGAAATTGCGCTGAATATCTTGTCTGTGGCCGCTCTACGTCTGACGAGTATTCAGCCTGTTCATCTTGGCCTTGATCCTGCGATCAACCGCAATATCACCACCCGATACCTCTTGCTTCGTATTCGACTGGTGAGTTGTATTGTCGGAACACTGCGTTGTGTCTACATCAGACCTGACATATTATTCTAGGCCTGGTTACAGAATCGAGTCGATATTGCCGAACATTTCTTCACCAAACTCCCTACGCCGGTTGTGTCAAATGATGAAGAGTTGATTTTCGAAACTTGTTTCATCATTGGTGACTCTGCACTCGCACGGTGCCTGCCTGAAATCGCAATCACATGGCTGCAGAGAGCAAACGATCACTTCCAGTCTCTATCCATTATGACCCTGATGAAGTTTCCAGATTACGATAATTGGAACTTGGTTATTCGACATTCCCTTGGTGAGTGGGCTGATCTAGTCGATGACCTGGACTAACATGTTGCAGTTGTGGCTTCTGCACATGCTAGAAGCCCCCAAGCAAACGTCACCTACGATATTGAAATGAGACACTTGAAAGAAGTACGCCTGTGGTGAGGCGTGGTAATCCAGAGGCTGACCTTTTTAGTATTACCCAGAGCACCCTGCTGTGGTCCTTTTTCATCTCTCTGTGGGATACAACAATTCTAATAACAACGAATTACTACAAGGTAAGACTGATCCTTATCTTACATGGAATTGAATTAACCATATTGTTGTAGGCCTGAAGGGTATGGTTGATAAGTTATCTCTCGCAGATATGAACATGCCGATGTGAGTTATCCCAACAAGTATTGACTGCAAGTTTTTAACAAACATTAACATGGATCTAGAATTTTCCAATTTGCCCGATCTCTGGGCCATTCAGGGTACCTCGGTGCAGTATATTTGGTGAGGTACTTTACTAACGGTTATTTAGTGGTTTGGATAACGGGATGGAAGCATTTCGAATTTTGCTCATGCGCCCTCTGCCAAGAGAATGGACAGAGAAATGCTTTGTTGCTTTTCTTCTACTTTTGAGCAGATCGGAGTACTCTGATTCCAAGCGCATTCGCACCCTACGGGGTGTAATTGACGCACTAGAGAAACGCGGATATCCATCAATTAGCGCCAGGGCAGCTCATGCCACCGTGATTGTAAGGCAAACTCTCATGACCATCAATGAAAAGCGCTGACTGATTGCCTACAGTGCATCTGGAAAATGACTGGCGAGGCCCTTATCAGGAAGGACTACTGGACTGCACAAATATGGCTTCAGGTGTGCACTAATCCGAAGATCTTTCAATACTGCTCCATGGAAATCCAGATAGCGATACAAAAGTCAGCGAAACAAATCTGTCGTTTTACTTGCATTGCGAGCTAATATTTCTTCAGGAAGCTGGTAGCATGTTACCTACAGACTGGGGATACCACCGCTGCTCGTCAGTTAATCGACCGGGGTCTATTCCAAAGTCAAGTGGATTGCGAAAGGATGTACTTGTCTTATAAGTTGTGCTTGCTAGAAGGGAAAGACGGATCTGGTAGGGATATTCCATGGAACTTTCATTCCTCTGATTTACTCTAACCAAATGCAAGGGCATTTCTATCTCGGCTTTCCTTTGCACCCGGTGCCACACAAGCAAACGAGCCTCCTATCATGCGCAATGGAAGCCCAGAGACAACACAAACCAGAAGAAGTACTGAACTGTCTTGATCAATTCATCAAATGTTTGACTTCAGATGACATTTATCATCACGACTTTCACGCCGCCGAACATTACATGTGAGCATGTTTCTAATCTTTGACTTTGTCTACGAGGCTAATTTGGTTACCCTGAACAGATTCGCAATCACTCTTCTTTCCGAAGAACTCTCAAAAGGCTTTAGCAAGAGGATTGGCAACTGTATCGAGACTGTACTCCAAAATGGTGCGTTTTCCCCTTCTAAATATATCGCTATCTTCTAATACTGACCGCTCAACAGCCGTATCTTATGCAGAAGAAAACAGCATGTTTGAAGGTGGTGACCAGGAGGTCTCAGTCACTCAACTGCAATGGCTGTATTGTGCATCTTACAAACTTGCTTTGAAACTTATCAACTCTTCCGGGTTTCTGTGGGCTACATCTGTCTTGGATTACTCTAGAGATGTCTGTCTTGAATCCAGGCAAGGTATCTTTCTGGCTATATTTACTAACAAGTTTATAGTTTGCCCTTCAGTATCGTCAGATTTCATACCCTAATATGGGTTCCAAAGCACCCAGGCCGCATTTATTTGCAGTTGTTTACCTCCGTCTCCTTGTTAACTCCCTCAAGGCCCGCGGCGAGGATGATCCGATTAAAAAGGTTAGTTCCAGCGGTTCTTGTCTATACCAAATTATGGCCGGAAATATCACAATATCAAAGCCTGATGACCATACTGACCATATGCAGACATCGCACTACGATAATGTACGCGCTTGTTTCCAGGAACTCGATGACTTGCGTGGTTGGGGAGATGGAGAGGAGGAGACAGATGATGACGCGAATTACAAAGAAGACAGGCACCATGATATTGCCCAATTCTTCGACCTTGAGGCTGCCATGCACCTTAGGAAGTGGGACGATGTGGCCAGCCTATGTGCATCCGATGACACATTCCCTGATCCGGGATTTTACGCACCTATCATGGATCTGACTCTCCAATTGAACCCGCCACCCACACTGGCAATCCAGGTCATCAAGGTACGCTCCATTCTTATATATGAGATACTGCATTCTCTGAACAACAACTTACATTCATGTAATAGCGGATCGTGTCAAAACTTAGCGAGCTACAGGACGACCCCCCAAGCACATGGCAGCGCGATTTCCGGGTTTCCCTGCCCCGCTACCTCCATTGTCTATTTACTCTAGCCATCACACCAGTTCAAGAAGAAGACTATTTTGAATTTATTTCTCTCGATATCGAAATGGCTGACCCCGAGGGTGCCGAAGAAGTGCTCGACAAAATACTTGCAATGGCAAACGAAGAGGCAGACGTTAAGCAGGAGGAGGGACTCAATGCACAGCTCGGTCTGAACACCATGCATACCGGGTCTGAGCTCTGTGAAGTGTTTACATATCCAGCTGCGGAGTTGATCAAGATTGCTACCGTGGCTTTCAACAAGGCTACTGACTTTTACCGTGCTACACAAGATGAGGATTGTCAGCGTTGGGCGAACAAGGCCATTAGTATTGCTCAGCTTGTGCCAGGTGCTCAGGGCAAACAACTGGTCGAGACCCTTCAAACTAGACTGGGGAGCTTGATTGGAGTTTGAGGCTTTGAGCTGTTAAGCTGATTTGCCTGGAGATTTCGAGTCCGTGTGTAACGAGAGTCTGTGTGCGTGCAGTCAGCAAGAAGCATCTATCAAGACGCTACTGATTGACATTAGGTGAGGATTGGGTGGAGATGTTCAATGGTATCTCAGATAGGTTCTGGCGAGGTGGAAGAATGTGCGTAGAGTGAAATGCTAGGTTTTTATGAAATTGAAAAACTTGAATTAGGTATTCTTATGGTTTCACGATCAAAAGAAAAAAGATGTCAATGTAAAGAAAGGACTCAAGGATGTTGATCACGGTGAGATGGCCTACAGCCTCTCAATAAAGGATAAATATGGGTATCATCAGAAGGGAAATGATCTCTAGGAAATCAGGAAGTAGAAAGGAAACTCGCCCAAACCACCAAAAATCCAGTAGATGATGCAAAGATGCAAGGAAACAAAAAGATAGCAAAAAAATATAAAAAAAAAACCAAGAGAATGCACGAGTCAAAATGCTAGTAAATAAGAAAAGAAAAAAAGAAAGGATCAAGGGTAGGGGTAAGATAGAAGCGCCGTAGCAATTCCACGACCGAAGCCATGGAAAACAAAAAAATGCAGTACCTTTCCTCAAAGTAGAATAAAAATCCACAATGAGAGAACGGAGTTCATTCCTCCTCATTCGTATCGCAGGAACGACTCCGCGAAACCTGCCGCACCCCCTTAGACCGCAACGACGGGGTAGACGGCATACGGTGAGGAATACGAGGCGGCTTGGGCATGGCCGAGTAGCTCTGTTTCCGCTCTCGCTCCATATCTTTCCCGCTACTATCTGTCTCAGTCTCGGCGCTCTCATCGCTACTCTGTCCACGACCAGCCACAATGCGGAGTGTGAGACTGAGCTCGCGCTCGAGCTCCTTTTGCGCTTGCATGTGTTGACTCGAGCCGTTGAGTTTCTTGCGATACGCTCGCAGACTTCGGCATAGCTGCTCGGTGGACATATCCAGGCTGCCGAACTCGCTGCGCGTGGTTGTTTTGCCGCGGTTGCGGAAATCGAGGGATGTGCGGCGGTTGGTGGTTCTTGCGCTGTGCGGTTTTCGGGGTGTTGGGGTTTTGGATTTCGGGCTTACTGGGGATGGGGAGCGGCGGCGTCGGTCTTGTGGTGTGCCTGGTCCTGGTGTTGGGGAGAGGCGGTTTGGAGGGGAGGATGTTTCTGAAACGGCGTGGTTTTTGAGCGATGATGGTGCTAGAGATAGTCGAGACAGCTTACGGAGTAGGGTTGGAGAGTGCTCGCGTATAGGTGTTGGTGTTGTAGGATTGGGGCTATCCGGTCGTTGGAATCCAGCGAGCTCACTGCGGGAAAGGACTTTTCGGAGAGGAGGCTTCGCCGCTGTCAGTTCCTTTACGGGGTTTTCATCGTCCTCGCGCGTATTCCCAACGAGGTCTGGTGAGACCTGTTGCTGGACAGATAGGTTCCATATCATCAAAATACCATCCATACCAGCACTGACCACTGTGCGCTTGGTTTGGGAGCCATCGGATTTATCACGCTCCTCCAGTAGTAACACGTCGGTGACACCTTCTGTATGGCCAAATTCACCAGTGAGGAGCTGGTCTCGCTCTAGATCGTAGACGCGAATAGATTTGTCGGTGCTCGAAACACCTATAAGAACCTTCGGGGTCTGGCCTGAGATTTCAGATGCAATTGTCAACGAACTCAAAACCACCGCATCAGCTGTCTCCGAATCAGATGCCTTGAAACAGTGAAGCTGATGCCCGGAGGGGATGTCGAATTTCGAAACACAACGATCCATGGTACAAAGGTATAGAATGTTCGAGTCATCTGGACAAAGTGTCATTGACACCGGGGAGGACTTTTGAGTGATGACCCTTGAGATGAGGTAGGCAACAGATGTGCCACCATCCACCTCGCGTGTCGCACGCTCTCGTATGACAACGGTGCGGTCTGCGGAACACGAAAGCAGTTTTTCGCCTTCGTTGATGAACATCAATTGTCCAACAGCTCCGACGTGATCGTCCATGGTTTGAATTAACTGCAACTCGGTGTCTCGTCTCTCGAAGAGTTGCACCATCCGATCACGTCCAGAACTAGCTATCAACCAGGTATCGTCCATTCCTTGGATGACCACATCCGTGATCTCTCCACCATGGGCGCGCGCCTCGTTAAGGCAAGTCCAGTCGGAATCCGAAAATATTCTGCACCAGAGTCAGCCAAAGAGCTTGGTCACTATCTCATATTTGTACATACCTCAATACACCAAACTTGTCAGCAGAGACAAACCAGTGCGCATTTTCGGCGGTCCTCAAAACTTTGAGTTCGTTTGCCGCATCATCTTCCTTTCCTGGAAATTGGTCGAGATCGATATTTTTAGATCCTCGACATTTCCCTTGAGCATCCCAAAAGTTCACTGAACCGTTGCGAGACCATGTGAAGAAGTCCGCAGACAAGTCATTGGGGAAATCCATGCGGCAAATGCCGAGAATCGGGTCCCGATGGGCCGGCATGGAAGCCTCGCCCTCCTCCTGTTCACCATCTTCGCCTAAAGTGTCAATCGGATAGACATGAATCGCGCGTGTGGATTCAACGGTGACCAAATGGGAATTAAGAGACCCCATACAAGTAATCGCCGGTGTCTTGCTTTTCTTGTCAAGCGCGCTCTTGTCAAGGCGCACAGGAGACATCGGCGTAGATGAGCCGGATGATCGTAGAAACTCAAATGGCACCCGCTGCATCTGCCTTCCTCGTCCACCTAGCCATATGGATTCTTGGTCAAAGTCCACGGCCAACGAGGTGATGCTGAATCCAACCTGCTTTACCGTGGTCATCTTCTGGGATCCTTCGCGATCATCGAGAAAGCAAACCGCGCCCGAATCTGTGCCGATTACAGCCTCGTTGTAGGAAATACTGTTCACACAGGTGAAGGTGTTGTCGCCCAGTGCGCCTAGTAGACAATTCCTGCCAGAAAGTGCTTTCGGGGCAGGATTTGGCGAGGGGCCAGCTCCCTCGACATTTAAACGTGTCTTGGTTGGTGAAACAGGCCGAATCACTGTTGGAAGACGCCAGACCTTAACATGTCGCAGACCAGTCCTAAACAAAGACATTAGTCGAGTGCTAGTTATCACCATCCAATCAAACATACGTGACCAAGCTCTGACCGACCCAGCACATATCCTTAATAAATGAAGTGCACTTATTCGCGGAGTGTAGCTTGGCCGACCCATTCTTGAGGTTGATTGTCCAGATAAAGAGAAATCCATCGTTCGGGTTGCCGAGTGTTGCCAAATACTGGGAGTCGGGGCTAAACGCCAGGCTGCGAACACCGAACGTATGCTCGTTTAGAATTGATAGGGGAACATCCGGCAAAGCATCTCTCGCGGTCGAAAATATCAAAACTCGAGGATTGTAACCAGTCTTGAAGTTGTCAGCTGCTGCTGTTGCAATAATTCATCTCAATGTCCCCCACTTACCTCTCCCACTGCAAGGAATCTTCCATTCGGGCTGATCGAAACACTCGTTACTGCTTTGATTCTTTCCCTCGAAGACCATCCACGTGGACTGCCGCTGTCGATGGCTTCGCTTGACGGGGACCCATTGTGGAGATTAAGGTGTGGATTGGACCGGATATGGGAAAGGGATCGCGATCTCGGGTCTGGGGTGGCTGGGGGAGTCGAATGGTTGTAAAAAGAAGTTGATGGGTTGACACTTGTTGCGGAGGGCCGGGCTCGGAAGAAGCGCTGGGTTATGTTATCGTTCTCGTCCAATTCTGCAAGAACCGCTGCCGATCCAGCGCATAGCGCAAAGCTTCTGCTCTGGTCATGGCTTGAAAAGCCATTGGGAGTGGTGGTTGTTGTGCCGATAACGGTCTGGAGGGACAAGGAGGATTGATGGGAAGTTTTGCTAGGGGATCGCGTGCCCGGTCTGAGGATTGGAGAGTTCGAAGGAGTGATTTTCAAGGATGCACCGGGTCCAGCAAGCTTGCTTTTCGCACTGAGGGGGGCGGTGGTAGCCATATCCTCGGGAAGGAGGCGATCGGTGATTCAAGGTCCGCTGGTAGCGCGGGATATTTGTATTTCAAGCCAAGTTCATGAGGTAGGTTCGTGGATGCCAGTCAGGCTGTAGTAGATGTCGGAAATTTTATCTCGGGGGCGCTCAGGAGAGAGTGTGTGGAAGGATAGTAGAATTAGTGGGGGCAAGCTGAAATGAAGCTCTGATCAGCCAAGTCCGATCTCCAAGTACACACACACAAATCTAGAACTCACTAAAAGAGTGTATAGGAAGAGAGAAAGAAACAAACAAACACGAGGCTCATGCCGCAATAAAGCAGATCATTCCAGTCGATCAGAGGAATTTGAACATTGGATTTCTGCTTCCCCCTGGCTCCATGGGGTTATATGGGATTATGCTTGGCTTCTGATTAGCCTGGATTTGAGGAATTGCCAGGTTCTCACTTGTCCAGAGCTTTGAGATCTTTGAGCTCTTCTCGATCTGCGGAAAAGCGTGAGATGAACGGTGGGTCGTGTACGCACAGGTCGTCGCACTAACCCGGACTTCGGCTCAACGTGAGTTTTGATGGAAGTGTATTGGATGTTGGACGTGGTTATATCACAAATCAGATCAAATCAGATCTAAATCAAATCAGATTAGCTCGGAACCAAGGGAGGTCCACAGGTTGGTCCCGAACTAAAGCAAATCCGGACTTTGGCTGTACACCGTACACACCTCAATTCAGTCTCACGTGCCTCGAGTATCTCGTGCCCCTCTGATGCCCTAATCTCATAGTATAATTTGACTAGTCTATTGCGATACATCACCAACTCCGGTATTATACTTATTTGACAGCCATACTTGTTCATTCCTACAAATCACACAGATAAATAAAGTATGAAGTACAGGGCTCTAAACATTTCGCTCAACAATAACCGTGCTCCAATATTGGTCGCATCTCACTGCCGGGAAAAGCTACATACATAAGCGTCAACTTCCAACTTCAGCGCTCGCGGTTGATGTGGCCGTTAAAGGCCGGGACATCCATACAACCACTATCACATGCATGATACATTATCGAAAACTTGATATCCGACACACCATTTAAGCAGGCTACCAGACAAAGGGCATGTATGAACACGTTTATTTACTTCTCCACCGGGGAGAAAAGGAGGTTCAAGTCTGGGGGTGGACCCGATGAAAGCCAGCCAGTCGGTTGAGGAATGCTTGAGCTGGCAGTTTGGAGGTGGAAACACTCGACTATGCGAGCTGTCACCCTCCTGATCTCTGCCAGCGCTAAAGATCGCCCAACGCAGCTCCTGGGTCCATAAAGAAACGACAGCATACATATAGGCGAATAAGACCCCCCTGTTGGATTGATTTTAGGGGCTGTAGAATCGGATCGGTCAATCCACCTCTCTGGCACAAATTGCTCTGCATCTTCGCCCCATAGATGCTTTGCTCGGTTGATGGCTCTGGGGACAATTGCAATGTAAGTGCCAGCGTGAACCAGACGCCCGTTGATGTAGGTATCAGATATCGCCTTGCGTAATGTCATGGCAAATGTAGGGAAAAGGCGAGAAGCCTCGCTGCATACCCCGTTGAGCAATGGCAACTTCTCGTAATCTTCCTCACTCAGTGCATTTTTAGTGGACTTTGCTTCGCGCAGCTCTTGTCGCAAATTGTTCTGGGCCTCCAGGTTGGCTGCGAGGCAGTACAATGTCCAAGATAAAGAACTTGCCGTGCTTTCGAACCTACGTAAAAACTATTCAGCGAATGTACTCCAAATTGTGGAAACTGACTTACCCAGCAGCTAGTGTAGTTACGATCTGAGGAATGATCTCTTCTTGTGTAAAGTCACCCGAGCAAGCGATTTGCGTCAAAATATCTTGATCAGATAGATCAGTCGATTGAAGGGAGGCAAGTTTTTCCGGGATCAACTGCTCAAGGCTTTTGCGAAGTTGCCTATAGGCTGTCTCCATTTGTCGATCTATCTTGGAGGGAAACATGGTGACGAGCGAAGGTGGAGCAGAGTTGTGCCACATAAAGTGGGATTTCTTGTGGTCATTGGAAGAAAAGAGCGTCTGGAATACATCAAAGATCTCCAAGTTCTGACCGAGGATACTATTGAAGTCAATTCCAAGTGCGATTATTCCCATCACGTCCAGAGAAATCAACTTTGCAAACTCATTGACGTTGATAGTTGCGAGCTTGGCCCCCTTCTCGTTGTCACTCACGCAATTTTCGGATACATGTTTGACAATTTGGCTCGCCTTGGAAGACAGAATTGGCTTCAGCTTGTCGACCTGTCGCTGATTAAAAACTTGAACAAATGACTTCCGATTCTTTTTATGTTTATTGCCCTCTTGGACCACAAGCCCCTCACCGAAAAAGCGGACTGCGTATCTGTGTAGGCCACTGGTCTTTTGAAATTGATAGGAACGATTCGAGAGAACATCCGATAAGCTTTCCACACTAGTGGGCACGAGGTATTCGGCGCCCAGCAATCCAAAGAAATGAAGAAGGCCATCGTTTGGAATTGAGTTCACCCAGTCGGTGATTTGGTTTCCTAGTGGCTGGTCGAAAATGGCGGATGCATTCTGGAATAGAAAATTTTCTCCCTGTGCAGTCCATAAGCAACCATGCGTGATAGAGTAGTGTAAGGATATACCTTAGGCCCAGGTAGATCATTCAACGGACTGAACCATCGCCGGCCCAGAGTCCTCCAAGAAAGAATCAAAACACAGTAAGAAAAGCAAGTGCCAAATATCCATGCAGTAAATGAGCCTATTGACTCGAAGCGAAATCCACAGAGACGCCCCCCGAACCAAGTGATAGCCGTCCAGAGGAAGAATTTGGTAGTGAAGGACGATCTGGCGGGCATGCTGGAAAGAACAAGATAAGTTGAAGTTAGAAACTTCTTGTTCGATTAAGGGAAATTATAACTTCAAATCTTCTGGCAATCTGTGATCCTTTCTTGAAATAAATTGGAGCAAGGAATTTCTAGTTTATAAGGCTTATAAGAAGGTATTGGCATATCACTCGTATCAATCGATTCACGATTGCAACCTATGTAGATCAACATTCTAGTGAAAAAGTTATATGCAAAGGGAGAATATCCACTACTAGAGATTACATCGTGCTCCTCATCGGTCTCCCTTGCATCGGTACAAATGAATCTCGGGAAGGAAAGAAACTTTGTACTTCGATCTCCCTTGCATCGATACAAGACAGAAGGATAAATCTCGGGAAGCAAAGAAACTACTTGTTATTCAATCTCCCTTGCGTCGATACAGGGCAGAAGGATGAATCTCGGGAAAGAAACTACTTGTTCTAAACCTAAGCAAGCCTTAACATGTACATTACCTTACACCCCAGTTACAGTGTTTCCCGTAGATTCTAGCGGAAATATTTGTGTCCATGTGTCAGTTCACGGGATGTCCGTACGTAGTAGTACCGATGGAAGCAATTGAGTTGATTGGTTTAAGAACTATCGAGACCACTATTGAGAGGGCGGGTCTATATGCCTGGCTACTAGTAGTATTGGCATGTTACAGCCTATTTTACCATATTAAGCTAAAGCGAGATTAGGTAGATCCTAGTTGTAAAATACCATCTCATCAACTCGTAACATATTGCTATATATACTTTCCAGAATTCTACGCAAAAGTTTCATGTAAACTACCCCCCACGATGGTCACAAAACACCTCCTTATATTTCTCTTGGGAGAAATTAGGCCAGTGTTATCTTCTCTACTTTCAGTCGACCAAGCCTCGTGGGATGCCTTCAACCAAGATATCTCTGGGCGACTCTTTGATGGTACACCTATGATGAGCCCCTGTTTCAACAATTACAATGAACAACCTCAGAGAGCCAATCATACCCGGTGCATGGAACTTCGGAGGGAGAATTCCCCTAGCCTCTATTTTGGAGGGTATCAAAATGTACTTCTTGTCCAAGTTTTCAGATCAAGTCCACACTTATGCTAACCTTTGTCATACAGATCAACTGGGGCGCCTGTCAGTCCACTGGTGATAATTGCTCAATCAGTTCTTTTACGAGTGAAGACCATATTAACCCCACTCGGAGGTGCTCACAAGGCAGCGTACCTTCAAAATATGTGGATGTTCGCAGTCTAGACGACGTCCAAAAGTCCTTAGCCTTCATCCGAGAAAATGGATTGCAGCTGGTGATCAAAAACACCGGACACGACTACCTCGGAAGAAGCTCAGCTTCGGATGCGTTAGCTCTCTGGTATGACTGCCCATGTTACGTATCAGACAAATAAGCTAATTCATTTTCTCCCAAGGACACACAACTACCGACCTTCAATTCACTTGAATCGCAGTTTTATTCCGGAAGGATGTCGGACTCCCGTGGGTGATGTGATCACCTTTGGTGCTGGTGAACAATTTAAAGAAATTTATGACTTCGCTTTTCGTCAAAACCTCCGAGTAGTGGGCGGAACCGGTATGACTGTTGGGGCATCTGGGGGTTGGATCACTGGTGGTGGCCACAGCATACTCTCGAATGAACTCGGTAATCACCTTCTGGGACCTTACCAATGAGAATGACAGCTGACAATAGAAGGTCTTGGGGTCGACAATGTTTATCAAATTCACGCTGTCCTCCCAAATGGAACCTATATCACCGCCTCGCGCTGCCAGAACACTGAACTCTTTTTCGCTTTGAGAGGGGGTGGGGGTGGCACGTTTGGGATTGTAATGGATATCAGTATGCTTGCACATCAAGAGAAGCGTATGGAAGTGCTGTCCCTGAGCCTGGAGAACAGGGATCCCCGCAATGTGGAGCATTTTCTTCAGGTGATGGTTAACAATGCTGAGCGATGGGCCGATGAAGGCTGGGGTGGATACTTCCAGCCAGGAATGCAGGCAGATCAACCAATAACTCTGTTTATGGCGACATCAATGATGAACCATACGCAGGCAGAGCAGTCAATGAAGCCAATCCTAGACTTTGCTCTGCATTCTGGTACCACTGCGTCCCCAAATCTGACAACCTTTACCGGATATGGAGAGTTGATGCAGAGTATGGACACGCTGAATACCATGTCGCTGAACCACTATCAAGCGGCTGTCTCCATGTCATCGCGTATTGTGCCCCGTGTCAATTTTCAGGGGACGGCGAACAAACACAGGCTCGTTGAAGTGCTCAATGATATCATGCTTACCCTTGAGCAGAAGACTAATTCTTCACTTTCATTGCCCCCGTTACTTGTCTGCCTCACCACCCCAGTCATGTACTCGAAGCACCTTCCGGGCATGGATCGGGAAGGTGGTCCCGGATACTCTTCAGTCACACCCGCGTGGCGTGATGGATTGTGGCATGTCATTCATAAACGAGCATGGGTAGATGAGGTTGAACCATCTACCGTAGTAGATATTTGGAAGGAGACGAGCCAGTCCATGAACCCGCTACGACAATTGACACCTGGCGGAGGTGCATACCAAAATGAAGGAGATGTGTTCGAGCCAGATCCGATTGGCGCATTCTGGGGGAAGGACAACTATGATCGGCTTCTAAAGTTAAAAAAGGAAGTGGATCCCGATAATATCTTCACAGTGCATCAGGGAATAGGCTGGGAGGAAAGTGATAGGCGGTATAGTTGTTATCCTAAGTTAGTTTGAGATTTTCCCCTTGCATACTTCCCGTGTTATAGTAGTGGGTATATCACATACATAGCTGGAAAACAGAAAGATGTCAAAGACTGTGGAAACCTTGATCTGGCATGAATTTGCGGTGAACTACTTTTTCCGTTAACATTACTTGTTATACTTTGGTTTCTTCACCGAAATATAGTGATTACGACAGGTCATATTGCAGGTTTTCCATTTAAAGGATTGAACTCCAGTTTCTAAAAGCTTTACAAGGTTCAAGTTCAAGGCTCCCATCATGATTAACACCGTCAAAATCGTATATGGTGGCTTTTTCGTCAAATACAGAGGCCACACTCTAGAGACGGTAGAGGAGATCTTGCATTACTTGGAAAATGAAGGGGTCCAAACCATTGACACAGCTGAGATATATGGTGAGAGTGAAGAGTTCCTAGGTATGGCGGGTGCCGCAACCCGCTTCACCATCGACACCAAATTTAGCGGAGGGCTATCGCAGCTGGAGCCAACGGAGGAGAAAACTGTGAAGAGTTGCGAAGAGAGTTTGAAAAAACTGAAAACCAGCAGTGTATGGCCCTAGAGGAACTGTGTTGAAAATGTATATTAATTGATATCGCAGGTTGATGTTTTTTACATACATGCACCATGTCGTGGCACGCCAGTTAAAAACATCCTGTCAGGGATCAATACGCTGTACAAAACGGGCAAATTCAAAAGATTCGGGTTGTCAAATTTCAACGCAGATGAGGTCGAAGAGGTTATTGGTGTGGCGAGAGAAAACAACTTTGTGATACCTTCCGTTTACCAGGGCAACTACAACGCCATTTCTCGGCGTACCGAGACAGAACTCATGCCAGTTTTGCGTAAGTGGAACATTGCGTTCTATGCATACAGTCCAATTGCAGGTGGATTTCTGGCCAAAGCTCCCGAACAACTCCTGGCCGGTGGAAAGGGACGGTGGGACCCATGCGGCACTTACACGGCCAAGATGTACAATGCCTTGTACAACAAACCTTGCATGTTGAAAGCACTGGCAGATTTTGTACAGTTGTCAAAGGATACTGGGATCTCGCAGGCAGAGTTGGCCTACAGATGGGTGGCACACAATTCCCAACTTCGGCCGGAGCTGGGGGATGGGATCATCATCGGGGCACGCTTTGGTCCCCAGTTAGAGGAGGCTCTAAATGGAGTCAAGAAGGGCAGACTTAGTGCTGAGGTGGCCGAGAGGATTGATGCTCTTTGGGAAGGGGTTAAGGACGAATCACCGTTGGATAATTTTGAGGGCTTCATATCCAACTATCTGACCTAGAACGATGGTCTTTGTCATTAATCTCCTTTACATCTCATCTTCATTTTTGGTACGAAGTGCTCCGTAGTTGAATTAGACCTGTCTAAGTAATATTTAAATTTTAATCTCGTATTGATTAATTAGGTGATAGTCCTATATTGTAACTAGTTAAGTTATTTTGATTAGTTACATTGCCGTGATAAGTTCGAAATGATCTACGGGCAGTAATTGTCAGAGGCGCCACATTCCAATAGATGAAGGAAGGACTTATAAGGTTACTCAGAGCAAGATAACGTTTGCCCTTGCAGGGCTGTCTCTCTAGAATTGATCATCCCTTCTGTCTCAAGTATATACCGTCCATCGAACCGTTTTGAATACCACTGGGCGGAATACAGCAAATTCGATAAGATCAACTTTTCGAGAAAAAAAAAGTAACATCCCTGACGGCTTCAAATGGCAGCACCCAGGGCCGAGGAGCTTCAGCCTTCCACAATTTCCTTATGGCGTATCGCGTTAAAGACCGGCATCAGTGAGCAAATTATCAACCACAAATACCTAGGCTCCGGCACGGAAGATGACCCATATGTTGTTTGCTGGCCTGCCGACGACCAGCTCAATCCATTCGCCTTCAGCAAATCCTCGAAATGGACCATCACGATCATTGTTTCGCTTGCAACTCTAGCGGTTTCCCTCATCTCCTCTGCCTATACGGGAGGGCTGGTGGAGGTTGTCAAATCCCTTCATACAAGTCAGGAGCTCTCATTGTTGGGTGTGTCTGTGTTTGTTGTCGGTTTTGCTGTTGGCCCTCTTCTGTGGGCACCGCTGAGTGAAACATACGGACGTCGTCCCTTATTTCTCATGAACGCGATCGCTTTGACAGCTTTTACAGCTGGTGCAGCCGCTGCGCCAAACATACAATCTCTCATCATCTTTCGGTTTCTTGCTGGTAGCTTGGGATCAGCGCCAATGGCCATTTCTGGTGGCGTGATCGCCGATACTTTTCCAGCTGTCGAGAGAGGGTTTGCGGCTGGTTTGTATGCAGGTGCACCATTCATGGGACCAGCCCTTGGACCAGTTATTGGAGGCTTTTTGGCCCAGGAGGCAGGTTGGCGCGCGGTGGAATGGCTCTTGGTAGCATTGTCGGGTACTATACTGCTAGCCATGTACCTATTCCTACCCGAGACATATGCGCCGGTCCTATTGCGACAACGGGCCCAGGCCCTCTCAAAGATTACTGATTGCGTGTACCGCAGCAAAGTGGACATGGAACAAGGGAAGCCACCTATGACCAAAATATTGAGCGTCGCCCTATCACGGCCATGGGTCTTGCTCTTTTGTGAGCCAATCGTGCTATTGTTATCTTTGTATCTCGCTATTATCTATGGTACACTGTATATGTTCTTGGCAGCATATCCGATTGTCTTTGGAGAGGTTCGTGGATGGGACGAGGGTACCACAGGCCTAACATTTCTTGGAGTCATGGTTGGGATTATGTGTGCCACTGTGTATACAATCCCCATGTATCAACGGTACAAAAAAAAGTCCCTACAGTCAAAAGGCCATCTATCACCGGAGGATCGTCTACCGGACGCATTCTTAGGAGCCATTGCCCTTCCTGTGGGTCTTTTCTGGTTTGCATGGACTAATTCCCCGTCTATTCACTGGATGGTTCCCATCACCGCAGGAATTCCATTTGGGTTTGGAATGGTGACGGTATTCCTTGCTGTTTTGAACTACCTCGTCGATGCCTATGCCATCTATGCCGCTTCCGTGTTGGCAGCAAATTCTATGTTGCGATCTTTGTTTGGGGCTGCCTTGCCGCTCTTCACAAGCTACATGTATAGGGGTCTGGGTATTCATTGGGCCTCTTCAATTCCAGCATTTCTTGCGCTAGCGTGTCTTCCGATGCCATTTTTAATCTATCGTTATGGTTCCCGGATTCGTGAGCGCAGTCACTATGCCGCTGAAGCCAGTGCCATCATGAAACGATATCTGGAAACAGCTGAGATGGAGTCAGAAACCAAGCAGCAGACGTGAAGCGTATGCGTCAAACTTCAGAAGGAAACTGAACCATTGTCAATTACAACTATGTTTGTTAAATGTCGCGAGATTGTCTAGAATTGCTAGCAAGATTGTCATTTGGCGGATATATGAGAACGGATAGAGCGGGTGCACCAGCCATTTGGTCAGTTTCCCTTTAGACAGCCTTTAGACAGCAGCAACATAAAAGTGAAGATCAGAAAGAAGATTTAAGACCCCTTGCATACAGATCTAAAGTCTAATTTACCGCACTTGTTACAGAAACTCCTTACTTATTCACTAAGCATGGAGATCCGGTCAGTATGGTAGTTAAATCAGCACTATCGAATCGTTTACTCCGTGTTTCATACTCCGTCCTGCTTTAACAATTCCCATGCTCTCTCCTATGAACATGGATAAACCCGCGGAGAAGATCAGTTTCAATGACCCGCATGTTCAACGGCGGACTGCGACCATCAACGGAAAAACCTACGGTATTGTAGTCTTGCTAAATGACTTAGAAGCGAGCTGACCCGCGACACAGCCTACCTTTATGCCGAGCCAGTGCATAAGTATTCTCGAACGATCTTCTTGGTACACCCTACGAAATGCTACCTCAATCGAGGCCACGGTTAATGGGTCAAGGCAGATTCACGGTTTCCCGGACCTCTCCATGGGATGGCGATATCAAATCCCCTTTCTTTTAAAGCGCGGACTTCGTGTAGTTTGCCCTGATTGTATGGGGTATGGACAATCGGTAGGTAGTCCCGCCCTCCCATCGAAATAAATTCTCACTTATAAGGATTCTCCCTCTGGCTCCATGGTTCCATTTGCCTTGAAATCTCAGTGTGAGGACTTTTACCTCCTAGCAAAACAACTCGGTTGTGAGGACATCATACTAGGAGGTCATGATTGGTATGTGGCTCTCTTACTGGACATAGCATGAATCAAAATTGAGAATCACAACAAACAGGGGATCCGTGCTTGCCTCCCGATTTGCGCTCTACTTTCCTGACTTCATCACGCATCTTATCACATTCGTTGTTCCCTACTTCCCGCCGTCGCCAAAATACGTTGCTGTAAACGACCTAGTCAAACTACAGCCGTCATTCGGATATATGCTCCAATTTGGGAGTGAAGATGGTGTGATCGAATCACACACGCAAAACAAAGAGGGAATCCGACATTTCCTGAATGCCTTGTACGGTGGGTTAACCCAGGACGGGAAAAAGGCCATCACTGCGACATCTGGCATCGACTTCGAGTGTTTACCCCAGTTATCGGCTGGCAAACTACTAGATGAGGAGGAAATGAACTACTATGTCAATGAGTTTTCACGGACTGGCCTCCGGGGCCCATGTAAGTTATGAGATTGTTACTCCATCTTCCGGTACTAAAACGATGCAGGCAACACCTATCGTGTGTTTTATCAAAATTTCGTTGATGATTTGCCCCTACTCACTGAGAATCCGAAAGAGGCGGTGATCAATTGTCCCACGCTTTTCATTCGGGCGATGGATGATTTTGCGATTACTTCGAACATGGTGGAGAATATGAGAGCATATGTTCCCCATCTGACAGTTGAAGAAGTTCGCTCATCGCATTGGATTATGGTCCAGCGGTCACAGAAAGTGAACGATATTCTGGGGTTTTGGCTGCAGAAGCAGGGCATCTTTTGAATTCCAAGTCATATATGTACCAAAACCTGGTGTTTCTAGCTTTCTCGGCTCGAAGGATATTGATAATGGGAAATCGGAATAGCCAAACATTCTGTTGGTTAGTTAACAGAGTACATATACTACTTTTCTATTGCCATTTAGAGTCTGCCTAACTACAAATTGTTCTAAGGGCAGATCACAGATCAGATTGTCAAGGGCAACCTTGGACCACCTAGCCATCCTACTGAGATGGTTAGTTATGGCCTCTTCCTGCGTCACCTTGTAGATACGCATTGGTCGATAATCAGTCGCAGTCAAGTATTATAGATATGGCTTTGTTAGACTAGCCTGTATTGAAATTGATCTGTCTTACATATCTGTTTAGTCACTTGCATTGAAACTCTGAGACGGATGTAAGCAGTATAGAATGAAGGGATACTGTTTCGCAAGCAATATGGAACCAATTCAGGTCATAGCTCAATATATATCTTAGTTGGTATATGCCGAGGATACCTATCTTTTAAAATAAATATATCAAACGAAAGCCGCGAGTCAAAAATTTATGGATGTATATTTGATGATCAACTTGGGGGAACTTTAGGAGAACTATTCGTGTAGTTATAGGGTACGGTTAGGACAATCTACTCATGGAACCATTTGGTTTTAAACCAGGCACATAGTAGATAAGTTCAGAGTTCTATATTTTCAAAACCCGTCACATTTTAAGCTCGTTTCCGTCGACTCTCCAGCTACAACACTAATTAAGGGGAACTATTATAAAAAGACCCGGAAAAAGAGTAGGAAAAATCACGACAACGGTTGCGGTTGACTATTCTTCTGTATATAAATCGAAAAGCTCAAATTGATAGTTAGTTACACACTCACCAACTTTTATGCCACATTCTCCAGGCCACCAACATTTGGATTTGGTTATCTTATCGCCACCGGATATTTTTGAACTTCCAGATCTCTAGCATTCATTCATTTTCAAGTTTGCTTTGGTTGTTACTCCGTCTTTTTCCATCTGCAGTCGATTTCCAATATGGCTACTAAATGTACTGCCTCATCGAGGCTGGCCCTACCTGCAGTTCTGCGCAATGTTTTCCGGTCTCAGTTCACCAGCAACTTGGGCGCTTCTTCAATAATCCCCTATCACCGACCTCTTACCTCTGGTCCTCTTTTCACTTCAAATATCCAGCTTCAACGATCCTTCAATTCAATGTCGCGCTTGGGGGATTCCCAGAATGATGAACCAGCACCCGCAACCCCTGAAACCCCGACCGCTGCTGATGACACCGTGCCTTCTCAACATAGCACACCGAAAAAGAAAGATTCCGACTCATTCGGCGAGAAAGGTGGATGGAATAATCATAAACGACAACCCAAGGACCAGCGAAGGGACCCAGATAGCACCGGAAGAACCGACAGAGAGCGCAGAGCTTTCCGCAACGAGACTCGCAGGGAGGCCAAAAAGGAACCTCGCAAGAATTGGCAAGAGCGAGCCGAAAAGTTGAAACAGTTCTCAGAGAATAGGGGAAAGAGAAAGCCTGAGAGCTGGCAAGTGCAAAAAGCGGCTTTGAAGGAGAAGTTCGCCGGTGGTTGGAACCCGCCCAAAAAGCTTTCACCTGATGCACTCGATGGAATCCGTCATCTTCATGCGAAAGCTCCCGAACAATTCACCACTGCTGTCCTCGCAGAGGAGTTTGAGATATCCCCGGAAGCTATTCGCCGAATTTTAAAAAGCAAATGGCGCCCATCGGAGGACGAGATGGAGAATCGGCGCAAGCGATGGGAGAACCGACACGATAGAATCTGGAGCCGCATGGCTGAGCTTGGTCTTCGCCCTTCGACCGACCGGACGCGAACACTTTCCGATTTCCATGTGCTGTATGATGACAACAATCGCAAGCGAAGATAGTCGTCTGTGTATTTTATACTATGTTATATATGTTTTAATTTGCGCCTGTACAATAAATAATATTTCCTATGACCTTTTCCTGCTTTAATGGGAATAAACGACATATTTACTACAGCAGTTGGTTGCAGGGCAGGGTGGGTATCATATGTCATTTAGCCCGTAGTTCGGGGTGGAGCTAGGAGCAAGGATATCATCGCCACGCAACTCCGTCGGCAACACATCTTCAACTCTACAACCAGCATGGTTCATTCGGGTTGACAGAATGCTACTGGCGGCACATTTCACCAAGCTTCGACCTAATTACAGCTCATCGTGCCGGCAATCTCCCCCAGGCCTTGGCCCCCCTCGAATTGCAACCCACATGCTGACACAACCGCCATGCCATCCAACATCCAAGTCTTCGTGAAATGGAAGGACCAGACTATATTTGCAGGAGAGGATGTGGAATGCACTATAACATTCAAGAACGTGGCCGACACTGGTGCTGATGCCAATAATGGCGGCGAAGGAAGTCAACATTCACGGAAGATCTCTCGAGTCGCGAACCACACACCCAACTCGAACTCGGAATCTTTCTTTGGGTTCAAATCACCACAGGCTCTCTTTTCTGGTCGGCGATCATATTCCACCAGCTCGCAACGAAAGCCTTCTCACCGGGCAGCCTCATCCCTGAGCTCTCCGTTAGTCGGCTCCCATAGCTTTCCTCCGAACAACGGCCCCTCTACACCGCGAGCATGGCAACCGGGCCACAACCATAAACGATCCGTCTCCATCCTCTCCATTGATAGCGATGGCCAACTCGATTCGACGCCTTCCCCGCACCATTATAATCGACATCAGCCAGCCAGGGGTCATGGGCGCTCGGCGAGTCTCCAGGTTCTGCCGCGAAGGAACAATAGCTATGAGGATTCTTACAAAAAAGGTAGATGATGGACAGTGCAAATTTGTGATTGGGGGGCCCTTTAACTAATAACTGTCTCTCATTAGCGAGATCCCCCTCTCATGCCTTTCCATTTCCATTGACCGAGGCTCCTAACGAGCATCCCAACGGCAGCCTGAGAGTTGATACCTCCCACTTGGGGCGAACCAGCGGCCCTGGCTCTCTAGCAACTAGTCCAATAGGCGCAATAGAGCCATTGCGTGCACCTTCACGTCGGCCTCAACCACCTCCCCTCGATTTTAAGTTTCCAGCCACGCCTTCGACCGATTCAACTAACAATCGTACTGTGCACACTCCATCACCAAAGTCGGCGACAACGAACGGTACATCATCAACCGGTGGAAGACCCACTGTCAGAGACGCACAGGGTCTAACTGGACCGGCGCACCAGCAACTAACCCGAATTATATCAGCTACAAGCGTAAATGGGAGCAGCCGGAGCAGCGGCGAATTCTACTCTGCCAGCGACCACTCCACCGACACCCTCGGGTCCGAATACACAAATTATTCGGTACAGGGTGCGCGAGCTCCCCCTCCCATGCGGCATGCTCGGCACCATTCGAGTGTAGTTGCATCTCCCACCAAAGCCTCCAACAGCCAGGCGCTGCTGATGGGCTATGCGCAGGTTAATGCATCATTCACCGTCGATGGATCATTAGTGAACCAGTCAGCTTTCGACGAAGTCAAGCGAAAGGGAGTTGTTGGTGGCCAACCGGGTTCAGGCGGACTTCCTGGCCGCCCAACGTCAACAGCCGAGCGACCACGTAAAACTGGTGGGTTTTGGGGCGCGCTCAAATGGAACACCATTGAGGAATCTATCAACGGCCTTCTTTCAAACAATGAATTGGATGGGCTACGAGAAATGCGTGGTGTTACATCGTCGAGATCAATTCCGTTGTTGTCCACCTCACAGTCGCTGCTTTTTGTTGACCTCCGACTGGCACCAGGGGAGGAACAGTCATATTCCTTCTCTTTCGCCCTTCCCAAAGGACTCCCGGCGAGTCATAAAGGGAAAGCAATCAAGATCTCATATAATTTAGTCATTGGAACCCAGCGAACTAGCGGGCCCAACGAGCCCCAAAAAGTCAACCGCATCAACATACCCTTCCGCGTTTTCAGCGGTGTGAATGGTAAGTTACATCCTCCACTTCGTTTTCCATCCCAATTTCTCACGTTTTTATAGAAAAGGGAGATATTCTTGGGCATGACTTGATGTCACCTTATGTACTTCTACGGGATGAAGCGAAGGTGCAAAAGGTCGGGCCAGTGATGCCAGTGATAACGAAAAACCAAAGTATTAGCAAATCTCACCATTCCGCGGCTGATTTTCTTGGTTTTGTGGATGAAATTTTGGAGCAACGTGCGCGTTCCAACACGCTGTTCCCACCTGGTGCTATACCCTCGAGACGACCTAGCGTCGAAGGATTACCCCAGATGCTTACTACCAAGGATGTCATCGATTTTGCTATCCTTCGCAGCAACCAGGCCGTGAACTCTCGCCGGAGTCCCAATCGCTTTGAGATTGCCCGCGAAGGTAAACGTATCGCAGTGGTCGTCTTGAACCGACCAGTTCACCGACTTGGAGAGACCATTATCGCCACTATGGATTTTGGAGATGCCACAATCCCATGCTACGCTGTACGTGCCTCGCTAGAGACGTCTGAAAAGGTCGCTCCTACTTTGGCCATCCGGTCCAATGCTAGCATTCACCGAACCACGCGGCGCATTCATGCCTCGCTTTTCGAGAACACACTCCATGCCACCCGGGTGGCTTTCAGCCCCGCTATTCCTATCACAGCCACGCCTTCAATATTGACGAGCGGTGTGACTCTCGACTGGGAACTGCGGTTCGAGTTTGTGACATCCAGTGTCCGAGGCGAGCAAGGGGCCCAACCCTCGGGTACTCGCTTACTCGAGGCCTTGTCATCGGATGATCGCGGCACGGTGTTGTCCGCTATGGAGCATTTGAACTGTGAATCATTCGAGATCGCTATCCCGTTAACGGTTTACGGAGAGACTGTTCGAGAACGATTGCCCGAGGAGAATGAAGGCTACCCAATCTAGAACTCTAGATGTACACTAGATGTACACATGTGCTTGCCTACCGTGCAGGCTATGCTTGATTTTATTTTGTTTGATTAAATATTCCCCTTGTACCATCGAGGGCGAAATCCCCCCAAATATAGGCCCCATCAGGCTCTGGATTCCCCATGTACAATTGATATAAAAGTTGAATTTGGAAAATAATTACATAGTTCTACTCATCGACTAAGATATGTAAAATATATTCTTGTAGTCTATGACGTACATGCGGTAACTAGGGCAACGCGGTCAGTCAACGGATCGGATCTCACATTATCAACTTGGGAGCTGAAACCCGATAACATCTCTCTCCTTGCGCGTTCAAAGTTTCTCTCAGACATATCATCCAGAATCATTGTCAGGTACGGTCCATTGGCATTATATGTACGTCAACACATCTGCACATCTGATGACATTCCTCAAATCTTGCATAGCAACTGATATCTGACATTGGAATGTAGGCACATCGCGATCAGCGCAAACCCCGCCGAAATACACCCCCTACCGAAAAGAATTACTTTTTTTTTCTCGAGCCTGAGAGAATATGGCTTCGTTCATCACCACCATGTCTGTCCCCGCTACCCCTCCCGTTGCCCACTCCCCTTCCCCCTGGGAAGCCTACCTCTTGCTCCCCGCAATTTCTGCCTTCCGTTATCAGCCCTCCCGCCTTATATCAGACTACTCGCACTTCTCATACCCCCCTCTCAGAGCCTCCATCTTACCTGTCGCCGGCGGTGCGCGCACTCAAACAAGGCTGCTTTGGACTAACACCTCCCAGCAATGCTCGCACACGCGCCCCTTTCAAGCCCCGCTCGGCCGCCAAGGGCACAAGCAGTTATCAGCTACGACAGTTCGCCGAGGCCACACTTGGAAGCGGTAGCTTGCGCAAGGCTGTAAAGCTGCCCGAAGGCGAAGATCAGAATGAATGGCTCGCCGTCAACAGTACGGCACATCTTGCGGCGTTGTATTGAGTGCATTGCTAATGTTTTGGCGATTTAGTTGTCGACTTTTACAACCAGATCAACCTTCTCTACGGCTCAATAACTGAGTTTTGCTCACCGCAGACATGTCCCGAGATGAAGGCTACAGATGAGTACGGTGCTTCCTCAGCAGGTCGTTGACTCCCGGCTTACAAGTTTGGATAGGTTCGAGTACCTCTGGCAAGACTCGGAGAATTTCAAGCGGCCAACCAAGATGTCTGCCCCGGAATATATTGAGCACTTGATGGCCTGGGTTCAGAGCAACGTCGACAACGAACAAATGTTCCCTAGCCGGATCGGTATGTCTCAGCGGTCATCCGTTAGGTAGTAGATCTATTGCTCACCCGTGTTTTCCTTCCAGGTGTCCCATTCCCCAAGACGTTCCCCAGTCTTCTCCGCCAGATCTTCAAGCGTCTATACCGTGTCTACGCTCACATCTACTGCCACCATTATCCAGTGGTAGTGCACCTCGGCCTCGAGCCTCACCTCAACACCAGCTTCAAGCACTATGTCTTGTTCATTGATGAGCACAAGCTGGCCAGTGGGAAGGACTTCTGGGGACCACTGGGTGATTTGGTGGATAGTATGTTACGAAGCGACTAAGGATTGAATCCGGAAATCGGGTAGTAATTGTGTTTTGCATCTGATCTCCGCAATCAAGGGATACTGACTGGTTGACGGAAAAGACATCTTCACGGCGTTTCGGGTGCGGTGCATGCATTGAAGTATTTTAGCTTGGACTTTCTGGCGTTTGGGGCTTGACCTGACGCGAAGACCGAAACGATGAATCCATGGATATTTCTTCAACTCTGATTTAGTTTTGTAAAGAGGACGTTTCTATAATTGTTCTGCGGGTTATGGTGTCTAGACTATATGCTGTACTTCCATGCTCCTGAAATCAGCATAAGGTATGGTTTATAGCTCAAGACGTTAAACCAATCATCAATGATATGCTGGTCGTTATTAGTGGGCTGGCTCAAGGCTAGGCCACTAGATAACACCAATACCAGCTTATATATGCCCTAAGCTACCCAGAAGTCCTATTCACAACTGGGTACTTGACCTCCGAAACTTGAGCGGATCACCAAAGTGACAAACATGATTTAGATCGACTGTTTATTTTATATCCCAGCCAGTCAAGTCCCATCACAATTGCACAAACTACGTGAGCATGTCAATAGTATTATTTTCGAAACACTAAACATTTTGCCAGATTCGACTAATGCAAATGTAATATTTCAGTGTCTAGTTCCTTCACCTGTGGAAATTTATAGAATCAATAATACAGTACTCCTGTAGAAGCTCTGTAACTTATTTACATCCGAAAAACCCCAAGGATGTCGAAGCTACGACGAAGCCGCCAAGCAATTATATACACGTGACTCAGTCCTTGTGTGCGCACGTGACGACGGGAACATTCGGCCCGGAGGTCTCAACCTTGCATCCTTGACTGAAGCAAGCACTCCGAACGTCGATATCACCTCCCCATTCAACCCTCAGCGTCCCTCCTCCCCTCCCCGAGGCCACTCCTCCAGCCAATTGCACAATGATGTCCGCTCGCTTCGCCCGCGCTGGCCTGCGTGCCACCCAGTTCTCCGTTCCTCGCACCGCTGCCGTTAACGGCATCAGGTCCTATGCCACCCCGGCCCAGGAGACCCGCGCTCCCGTCGCTCTGTTCGGCGTTGATGGCACCTACGCCTCTGCTCTGGTATGCACCTCCATTGCCCCGGTCTTCTCGCGACCGTGTATTGGACTTTTCGCGACAAACAGCCCCCGTCTTTCCCCGACCCCTCCCACAGTTGTGTTTCCACTCTTCAAAAGCAATCTTCAAATCCTAATCACAAACACCCGCAAACAAAATCCCGGAATGAATCCCGCCTCTAACAATGCTTACGAATAGTACACCGCTTCTGCCAAGTCCGCTGCTCTCGACCAGACTGCCCGTGCTATCGCCAGCCTCGGCGAGACCCTCAAGGCTGACAAGAAGCTCGTCACTATCCTCGGCGCCCCTATGCTCACCATCGCCGACAAGCAGTCCATCGTTGAGGAGCTCGCCAAGATCGCCGGTACCGACAAGGCCGGTATCCTCAAGAACTTCCTCGAGACTCTCGCCGAGAACAACCGTCTCGGTTCCCTCGAGGGTGTCTGCGAGAAGTTCGCTACCCTGATGGGCGCTCACCGCGGCGAGATCGACCTCAACATCACCAGTGCTCAGGTACGAACCCCTTGAGCTGTTTTTCGGTCTCAGCAGAAGAAAAAAATAAGGGTATAAGCTAAAACTTCGTCCGCAGGAGCTCGATGCCAAGACCCTCTCCCGTCTCGAGAAGGCTGTTTCCAAGTCTCAGTTCAGCCAGGGCAAGAAGCTCAAGGTTGTTGCCAAGGTGCGTTTCTAATGGATGAAAACTTTTCTTTTTGTGTCTGTTTACTAACTCTGTTGATCAGGTCAACCCCGACCTCGTTGGTGGACTCGTCGTTGAGATTGGCGACCGCACCGTTGACCTTAGCGTTTCTTCCAAGATCGCCAAGATGAACAAGGCTCTCTCCGATGCTTTGTAAATGTAAATTAGCCTCAGCGTTTGAGGGGATGGTTAGATTATAGCATATCGTCCCGGATGAACGGTAGCGTTCGTAGGGGGAAAGGGGGGTTCTAAGATTCCCTTTTCTGCTCTCATTTTGTTTTGTTCTCACTACTTGTCAATTGCACAAATTCATCTATAATTGATGTCTTATAGATCTGTTCTTTGCCTTGGTCCTACAAGGTACGGTGGGCACATTGGTCTAGCAGGTTGATAGTTCGTAGTGTATCTCTTATCCCTCAACCTGCTTGCCTTGGTGTCTGCCTGCCTTCCGTATCGCGTGGACCCGACGTGCTGTTTTGATCGCCGGTCAATCCGCGGGATGACTTTTTTATTTTTTATATGTTAACTCTCTTAGGGGCGTGGGAGATGTGATATGCCTAGGCACAGGTGGCAGGTAGGTCCTTTCTGTTTGCAAGGCTAATGATATTATTGACGTTTACTTCACTATCAAATGCAATAGAAATCAAAATTATATCCGAAAATACTATATGATGGGTTGGAAATGATCGATAGCAGGGGATGCAACACGTGTAAAAAAAGGAAATAGGAAAGAAACAGGGCAGTAACCACAGACAAGGAGATCGTTATTATCGTGTCCAGAAGTAACCAAATAGGGAAATGACCAGGTGAGAAGAGAAAAGAGAAAAGACGGAAGGTACAGCTAGACTAAGATTGTCCATTCTGCTCATTGTCCTTGTCAGCCCTCGTCTCAAACTCATCCTCGTACGCAGCAATCGAAGCCGAGCTGCGCACCCGCTGCAGCTGACTCTCCACATAGTGATCAACATGATCTTGGTTGTCAGGGGCCGCAGTGCTTCCCCTACGACTGCCTGCACGACTAGGACCACGACTCTCATCATCTTCATCCAAGATCGTCGATGCAGCAGGCGTAGCATCGCCAGAGTAGAAGTCACTACGGTTACCGATGGAACGTGTAGTCGACGAGCGACGGACAGACGGACGGTCCGAGCCATGCGGTCGTCCAGAACGAGAGAAGATATCATCAAAGTAGTGCGACGCAGCGGCAAAGGGCGACCGTGGCGTCTGCGGTAGGCGGCAATTGATACCGGTGTCGTGGATAATTTTGGCGATCAATCCTGTCCATCCGCACTGGTGCGATGTCCCCAGTCCGCGACCGCTGTCGCCGTCGAAGAACTCGTGGAACCAGAGATTGTCTTTCCAGTGCTCGTCGAAATCGAGCAGGTCTGAGCCGGCGTTGACGGCGCGGCGGCCGTCGTCGTTGCGGGCAAAGAGGTGCTGCATGCGGTGCTGCAGTTCTTCCGCTACGTGTCCGAGATGCATGTAGTCGCCTGAGCCCTTGGGACACTCAACTTGCAGAGAGTCGCCATAGAACATGTGGAAGCGGAGGAGGGACTCGACGAGGAGGAAGTTGACGCAGAGCCAGATGGGACCGCGCCAGTTGCTGTTGCCGCCGAAAAGGGAGGAGTCAGAGTCACCGGGGACGTAGTTAACTTTGTAAGTTTGGCCGTTGACATCCATGGAGTAAGGGTTGTCTTGGTGGAACTTGGACATGGAGCGGATGCCGTGCTCGGATAGGAACTCAGTTTCGTCGAGCATTCGCTCGAGGATCTTGACGAGACGGTCTTTGCTGACAAGGGCCAGTAAGAGTCGGTCGTCTTTGCCGCGGCGCTTCATGCTGGCGATGTTACGCTCGGCTATGTCCGGCTTGTTCTCGATGAACCATTCCACTCGTCGCTTAAACGAGGGGAACTTGTTGATAAGCTCGGGCTCTAGGGTGAGAACTGCATATAGCGGGATTAAACCGACGAGGGACCTAATGGGTAGCTGCTGGGTCCATGGTCCGCCGTAGGAGATGGCATCGTAGTAGAAGTTATCTTCTTCGTTCCAGAGTGACTGCACAGTGTCATCGCCCGAGCTGTAGGTCATTGCATCACTGATGAGCAGGAAGTGCTCGAAGAACTTGGATGCAATGTCTTCATATATGCGACGGTGCTTGGCCAGCTCCAGGGCTATGTTGAGCATGGTAAGAGAGTAGAAGGCCATCCAACCAGTGCTGTCAGCTTGCTCAAGCACACCTCCAGTGGGCAATGGCTCCGATCGGTTAAACAGACCGATGTTATCGAGTCCCAAAAAGCCGCCCTCAAACACATGCTTGTCACTAGAGTCTTTACGGTTCACCCACCAGGTGAAGTTAAGTAGCAGCTTTTGGAATACACGTTCCAGGAAGTCTAAGTCTTGTCGTCCGTACATCTTACGCTCAATCTTGAACGTGCGGAACACAGCCCATGCATGCACAGGAGGGTTCACATCGCCGAAGTTCCACTCGTATGCAGGCAGCTGACCGTTCGGGTGCATGTACCACTCACGAGTGAGAAGGTCAAGTTGCTTCTTTGCGAAATCGGGATCCATCATAGCCAGTGGGATACAGTGAAATGCAGTATCCCACGCGGCGAAGAATGGGTACTCCCAAGAGTCCGGCATCGATAAGATGTCGTCGATGTACAGATGACGCCACTGCTCATTACGAATGCCCTTTCGGCCAGGCGGAGGGGGGATTTCAGCCGGGTCACCATTGCTCCATTGATCCCAGATGAAGTTGTAGTACTGCTTGCACCACATCATCCCGGAAAAGGCTTGACGCTGGATGTTGCGAAGATCGTCACTCATGGGGAGAGGGTTGAGATGGTAGTAGAAATCATCTGCCTCGGCACGGCGCTGTTCAATCACATCATCCAGTACTTCTTCGTCCAGGACTTCTTCCTTCTTGCGGGACACTCTAAAGCGGACAACGGCGCATTCGCCGGGAGGAACTCCCTCGCCGTTGTTGAAGGCGTACCACGCAGCGAACTTGGTGCCTTCATTGTCTGGGTTGATAGCACCCTTCTCCTCTTCGACAATATGGCGGTGGAATGCGTCTTTGACATAGGGTGTGTCGTTCTCAGTACCCCATAGGAATTTGTTATTAGTCTCGTTCCCAGTGAACATCAGCTGGGGCTGGATGTCGTCATCACTAGACCCAACTGGAGGCGATGGTGCAAAGGAGACATATCGTTCGCCGATTGTGCTGTGTTCCGATTTGGCTACCATCGGTCCCTCCTTTTTGATAGATGGTCTTTCCTGTTTCTTCTCGTCGCCCCAGGACCATGTGTTTCGGAACCAGACATGAGGGACGATGTGCAGATGAGCAGGTTCGGGGCCACGGTTGTAGGCAATTACACGGAAGAGCAATTCTTCCTCGTCGTCGGCCTCCTTAGCAGTCTCGATGAAGATATCCCAGTAGCGGTTATCGTCGAAGATGCCAGTATCAAGGATCTGATACTCTTTCTCCAAACGTGAGCGCTTTGCGTTTTCATCAATGAGATCTTGGTATGGGAACTTTCTCTGGGGGTATTTGTAGAGGAATTTCATGTAAGAATGCTATACTCCGGGGTCAGCATTGTTAGAGGTGAACTGGATTGGAGTTATAACTGAGTTTACCGTTGGGGTGTTGTCCACATGGAAATGTGCTTCCTTGACACTCTCACCATGATTACCCTGAGGGTTCGACAAACCGAACAGGCGTTCCTTCAGGAAGTCGCTGTACTCCAGTCAGATTCCACTGCGGAGGGCAAGACCCACAGTATTTAAGCAGAGGCTTGACTTACTCTTCGCCATTCCAAAACGCAAAGGCAATGTTCTGTAAACCGTGTGTATCAGATACACCTGCAATTCCATCTTCGCCCCAGCGGAAAGTTCTCGATCTCGCGTGATCGTGGGTGAAGTAGCTCCAGGCGTCGCCATCTGCACTGTAATCCTCTCTGACTATACCATGACAAATCCAGCATTAGCCTGCTGCTTTTCAATTCGGGTATGATTTGCAAGCTCTCACCTGTGGCCCACTGCCTCTCCGCCTGTACCAATCCGAGAGCTTTTAGCACTGCTAATATGTATGTTCCCGAGCTATCCAAGGCCTCGACTTACCACATATGGTCCCCAGCGCTGTTTTTGGTCAGTTTAGCAAGAACTTCTTAAAGCTAGTTCACAAGTTAGAAAGATCTTACCTTCCAATACTTGGTTCTCTCGCGGTCTTCGTTTAGGCGCTTCTCTTCCGCTGTGACGACTTCTTTCCCATCGATTAAGACCATACTGACGATTGAGAAGAAACCAAGACAATGCCAAAAAAAAAAAAAAAAAAAGGATATATAGGAATGGAGAGGAGGGAAAAGAAGTTAAGAGGGGAATGTCCCTGCAGTCCGTGCCAACCTTGGGGTCCTGGAGAGAAATGACGTGAATCACCGGTTCCACGGGTCCACAGGTAGAGATTCGGGTGGATAATCGGGTCGGATTGGGGAATGGGGACCTCTGATTGGATGATACGCCTGTGTTCGGTTCGGGCCTGGAAGGTGCACAGGTCATGGACCTTGATTTTGCCCGAAATAGCGAAATATCAATTGACTTTATATTATTCCCTAGCCATATACGTAAGCTATATATCTGCTTCTTTCTGCTTTTATAAATTCGTTTATGATATATCGAGACTACGTAAGGAAAAGAAAAATAGTACCAGCTATCTCAACCTATATAAAGCGGGGAATAAGAAAAAGACTACAACCCCCATTTAATCGTCTCATTTTGGCTCGAATCATCATATAGCTTCTGTTGCATTTCGATGATCCGGAGTGGGCGGTACCCAAAGATCGGCTTCTGCCCGATTACATATATGTATTCTAGGAGAATTGGTATCGGGAAAGAATACTCTCTTATCGTGCCCACTATTACATAGTATGTAGCGCTGGAGCTGAGACATCTAGCTTGACCTACAAGTTCACAATAACCTAGCATTACAAGTTTAGAAGGAAAGTTAAAAAGGAAACCTTGCTTTCGAAGTAAGTAATAGGCTTATTATTATTGATAAAATTGTTGGATGCTGCAGATATCCTCGCTCCACCTTCCATACTTCGACATACCCATCTCCAACAAGCATAAAATTATCCATCGGGCAGGAAACTTTTCCAAAGCTCAATGCAGTCTTTAGCGCGACAGAGTCTTAAGAAGAAGAATCAAGAGGCGACGGTGGAACGGACACAGCAACCTACCTAGATCCTCTAGTCCAAAGACATAGTCCAAAAATTTATAGCGGGCTACAACGGTTATCTAAAAGAATGGACCCAGCCAAAATAAAGCCTCATGAAAATCTTATTTAACGAGCAAGCCATACCATGTACACTTACCACCCGGATATTGATTTCAAAAGATCAAGAGACGTAATAGTAGCGAAGAACTTGACCGTATGTGGAGATATATTCATGCCCTCCTGTGACATCCTTCGCCCGGAAAGGACTAGTTCTCTACCATTATCAACTGAGAGAATAAGCAAGGAATCATACGAAAGCCACAAATTCATGCCCCGCAGCTCCCCAGGGGCTAACAGCTCAGTATCTGAAGCCCGTGCCCTCTGGTTTCTGCGCCTAGACCAGGAAAACAGGGACAATGACGGAATCGAGGGGATAGTTGGGCATTCAAGTTTTGATAGTCGGCCTATGATTGGACACCATAGTAAGCCCATTAGCAACTCACTTGCTTATCATGCGGCTAGGGCCTGAAGGTGCAGGACACTTTCCGGAACTATATCTTCAGTTACTCTGCAAAGAGGTACGCATTACCCCCCAGGGTATAAATATGCAGATATCCCGGGTCTGGTAAGTCTGATTGAAAGAATCTCAATTTCAGGGACAAAGGCAGAAAAAAAAAAAAAAAGCATAGGTGAATCGCAGCGCCGTAGCACTGCAAACGAGGGACGGCGTTGGGAATAGAAATTCCACGGCCAGATCCATACAATAGGGGGTTTCTCAAAGGATGCTAGAAAAAAAAGATAAAACTAAAAAAATCATCCCAATAAAATAACCACGCCGACTGGAACATATTGCGTCTATCAGACGCGGCGCGGGTCCAATATCACGGATCATAGAGAGAGTTCCGCCCTGATGCGCTCGTCCCAGCCTTAATCTAGTTCCGACGTTCCGACTCCAGGATTGGATGGCCCTTTTTTTTTCTTTTGACCTTCCAGATCTTAACATTTGCAGGTTCGGAATTCAGTTGTTCCTCCGCTGCTCAGACTGTCCCGGCTGCTGCTCGTTGTAGGATCCTCCCTGGGAAGCTGTTACAGTCAGATCCCGCTACAGCGCAAACCCGGCCAGCTATATCAATCGGCCCGCAAAAAAGATCAGATTGAGCGCTCACCAGCTGACTGGCCTTGTCCCCGGCTGAGTTGGGACGAGGTGTTGTCACTCCCGGTAGACTGGGACTGGAGGCGTCTCTCGGCCTCGAGGATGCGCCTCTGCAGCTCTTCCAATTCGCGGTTCTGGATCAACATCTGCTGCTTCCTTTGGGGTTGAGGTTAGCGCCATGGATATGAGGATCATGATAACATCGAGAGCTCGCGTGCGATGTCGATATTAAAGGAATTATTAAATGCTACTCACTTCTGGTCGATGGTTTGCGAAAGGTTGTCGACGTCAGAGTCTAGCATAAAGGCGCTGTCCAAGGCCGACGAGAAGGCTTGCGCCATGGTCCTGAGGTCACGGTTAATGCCACTATTCGAATATCCGGCGACAGTATAGGGAAACGAACGACTGAGGCCGGGCCTTCGGCTTCCACTCGCGATCCAGGTCAGACATCTTGTGTGATTTGAGCTCTTTGATTTCTGTGATTACGGAACGGGTCCTAATAGTTGAACGGCGACAGAGGGGTGTGCGACCTTGAGATAGGCGGGCCAAGAACAAGTCGCAGAATTAGGGTATTAGGCGGTTTAGGTATTGTCGAGACCAGGACCAGCCAAGAATCAAGTACAGATGAGACTGAATCGAGGATTTTGAGGCTGTAAGAGAGAAAAACAGTGTCAGTTCTTTATACTTCTCGAAAGATAAGCCACAATCTGGTGGGGAGGTGAAAGAAATACCGGATATCAATAGTACTAGTCGCGATGAACAGATCGAAGAGTGATAAGCAAGAACTTTGGAGACCTGCCAGAGGAAGCTAAAGGGGGGGAAGAGAAGAAGAGGAGAAGTGCGAAATTGAGAGATGATCATAGCCCACCGACTATGTTACTAGTCGCGGAAATGGGAGGTCCCATATATCCCCACCAGCAAGGAGAGAGGTAAGTGTTACAACTGTATTACAGGGGTTCTACGCCATTATGTGTCGCATTTTCAGAATTAGTATGGAGTCCTCCGTACATATAGGGGGTTCCTGTTTCAGGGGTTGACTATTTTATACTTCCATTACAGGTATTTTTTTTATATTTATTTGCGTTATATTTGAAGAAAAATAGGGGTTGATGGTGCATACAACATACATAATACATATCTATTGTACTTGACTCACCTTATAAGCGGGAATTTAGGAATGAGGAAATAACTTGAAGAACTCTCTTTTATAAGAAAAAAAAGGCAAAATAGCCCCTGACATGGGGTTCAACGCAATTAGGGGGTGATTTTCATTCGAAGTACACTACAGTACATGGGCTCAATGTTACCGGAATATATAAGCCATATAAGGTTGAAAATGTCTATGCTTTCAGATATAAAAAAAAGATATTCAGATTTATAGATATTTAGATATATAGATATAGACCAATATAGACAAAGTACATCGTACGTTGCATAACTTGCATTCTGGCAGATTCCTCCCTGGCAACTGGTCACATGACCTATACCATACAGTACGGTAGCATCGTGAACTCTCCTCAATTCCAATCTCCATTTCCATTTCCATCGTCATTTCAATTCGACAGGGGTATTTCGTCTCTTCGCTTTGTCTAACCCTAAATTCGTCGCGTTTTTACCTAACCCGTTGTGGCCGCCGTTCATTTTTTTCCCGCTCAATTTTTCGCGCGGATAGATTGAAGGGCTATGCGTATTGCGTCTCTAGCCTGTCGCGTTCACTATCCCTAAATACTAGCCAACCAAGCCAACCAAGCCCGCGAAGCCCGCAGTTCAGCGACACCGAACACTTTCCGTCACCACCCTGATCGCCGACCGACCACCGTGGCCCCCATCCTCAAAGCCTTTCCCCCCAGTGGCCGACCGGACGGGCAATGGGGGATGCCTCCTCTGTCGGCATACACTTCGTTTGAGTCCCTGCTATTTTTCCAATCTCTAGCGACTTCCGATTCCCGACCAACAAGCTTCGGCTCAATCTCAACTCTTTTGCGCAACAACCAGCTCGTGCGCGAGAATGTCGATTTCGATGCCGATCGCCTGACCCCGGAGGCGCTGGAAGATCTCTATACGACATTAATGCGGGATGGATTCAGTCGTGATGGTGCGCTCTCGGTCAATGGACGACCCGCAGATACCTCTAGTCCGCCTAATCCAAAGAAACGCAAGATCTCCAGTCCGCGACCAGATGGATTAACCGGCGGATTCACCCATGCCACGCTCGTCCCAGAGCTAGTGACACATCTTTACGCCAAATACAGAGATCTAGTCACTAGGGAAATTAGGGACGATGAGAAAAAGTACACAGAAATTAGGGCTGAGCTGGAACGACTGCAGCAGGAGGGCGACAAACCAGCTGAAGCCGCAGCTACAGCATTGACACCGGTAAAGCCGATGCCTATTGAAGAGAAGGATGCTGTTATGGAGGAAGAGGTGCTGCGCCCACATGTACAAGATCAGACAGCTCAACTTGTTCCGACGGCCATCCCGCTCGCCCAAGACAAGGCAAAGCCCGAACCACAGCACATCGCAATGAATGTGCCCCCTACGACAAACGAGCCTCTTAAAACACACCCCGTCCCTCCTGTGACCCAACCTCAAGCTCCACTTCCCGAAGTGCAAACCCCGACACCCAAACCGCAAGACATAGCTGGGCATGCACCTCAACCGCAGCCGATCACCACCCATCCCCTACCAAAACCGTCCATCCAACCTACACTTGCTCCATCTACCCAAAAGGCCCCTCCAACCACACCAGCCGGGCCACGAGTAACACCGGCACATCCGTCGCAAATCGCACCTCGTGCCAATCCCGCCCCACCTGCGCCCATTGCTACGGGTAAGGCTGGCCCGTTGGCACCGGCGTCCCAGCGAACCCCTGCTCAGCCGAGCTTCCAGCAGTGGCAGCTGGATCCTTCTCCTCACTCACCATACCCGATCGCCTCCCCAGGTGCCGCTACACCTCAAGCGGCCCAGGCTACTACCAAGCGATCTGTACCACCACTTCCCACCAACCCGCCTTTGCCCGGGTCACAAGCCCAGACTCCTCTCCAACCTCATGTTCCACAAACACCTAGCGCCATTCCGTCCGCAGTTCACACACCTGTTCCAATCGGCCGTCCGCGTATTTCTCAAACCCCGAGTGCCACATTCCCTTCTTTCTCTGAATCGCGCGCCTCCCATCCACGCCTGTCAATTGATACGCAAGGCTCCTCCACACCGTGGAAGAGAACTCCTCGCCCGAGGGTTTCGCGCTCTCCAAGCTCACCGCCACGGCCTCGGCCAGAGGACGTCAGTCCCATCAGTGAACGAGACCAATCACCTGTTGATGCGCTGGAAATGTCACCTCCCCCAAGGATCAATCTAGGCCAGCGAGCTCCATCTACAGAAGACAGGAAATCACGACGCGGCCAGCCTGATACCAAACCCGCCCCCGTCGTAAAGACCGAGAAACTATCTTCAATTCGGAGGACGCGTGCCGTAAGTTCGGCTTCTTCCCGGAGTCGCGGACGATCCATGGCCTCACGCGATGGGTCTGCTGCGCCATCGGAAGACACTCTACGTGAATCACGAGCATCGGGCCGCCGAAAGGGTGTAACTGCTACCGCTGACGAAGGGACGCCCAAACCGCGGACAAAACGTAAACGCGGCGCAAGTGAAATAGTGGAACTAGAAGCCCACCCTGCGGATATCCCCAGATTTGACACGACCCAGTATGTCATGGCTACACGTAACTTCCACCGGACTGCGGCACCGATCATGAACGACGTAGCGACGCACAAGCTTGCCTCCATATTTGCCAAGCCAATTAGCGAGCGCGACGCCCCCGGTTACCATGATCTCATCTATCGGCCATCTGACCTCAAGTCAATCAAATCTGCCATCCACCAGGGAAGCAAAGCTGTCGCAACCGCAGGAGAATCAGCAAGCACCCCAGCTGGGGATGGAGAGTCTCCTGTTCCTGGCGGCACGCCATCAAAAAGTGGTGTGCTAATGTTGCAGAAGAATGAGGATTTCATACCACCCAAGGGAGTTGTGAACTCTGCACAACTGGAGAAAGAGCTGATTCGCATGTTCGCCAACGCTATCATGTTCAACCCAATTCCTCAGCGAGGATTCGGGCCCGCCTTCCCCATGTCTAGTGACCGTGGTTCGCGCGAGAGTACCCAACTGGGCGATTCCGACGAGGGCGGTATCATCCAGGACTCGTTGGAGATGTTTGAGGACGTTCAGCAGGCCGTTACTCGATGGCGGGCTGCTGAACGCACTGCTGATGAATTGGCTAATAAGAATGTCCTCTCTCTTCGGCGTGGAAGTGCCAGTGATTTCAACACTGACAGTACTGATGATGTGAAGGGGTGATTTATTTCGAACGCCATCTTGTATTATGAACTTTGTATTTGATTAGGATCGGTTTATTGGATTTGGAAATGAAATGCTATGATGTCTTCCGTCGGTGCCTTCGATAGCCCGACAATTATTAATACTCCTGCTCTCCGTGTGTAATTCTCTACTCCAGTCTACTATACATAGTGATAATCTAAACAGAAACATATTAACATGTGTATCATTGTCATAACCTTTTCAGCTAGAGCCAGTCCTGCTGCCCAGAGTCTGGAATGGGGTATATATATTTTTCTATTTTCCAACGGTCGACCTCTTAAGCCTGCTCTGGCCTCGTCCGCCCAAGCCCCTCCTTCGCATAGAAATCCATCGGATACACACCCTTATTCCCCGTATCCCAGTTCTCCCGCACTCCCAGCGCAACAAGCGCCTCATACGGCGTCAACAGTGGCCGTGCGAACGCATATCCCCAATCAATACTCAACCGTGGACAAGCAATCTGCACCCAGCACTCCACATCCGCCATAGACGCCAGCTTACCAGGGAAGATCTCACTGAGCAGCAAGTTGACAATTGGAATGCCGCGCTCGCGCAGGTGTCGCTCGATCATCGCCATAGTGTGCGGGTTACCCTGTCGACCAAGCGAACCGAGGATAATCCCCCACTTTTTCGCGGTCTTGGCTGTTGCGATCGCGTCTCGACGGATCGTATGCATCTCCTCGTGCTCGTAGCTCTCGCGTGTCAGCGTTCGCGAGTATGGATCATACCGGTAGGCTGGGATGGAGGGGTTGTGGATCATGGCGGATTCGAGGTGGAAGCGGCCGTCGCCGAGGTAGAGGATTGCGTCGATTTCGGTTTCAGAGAGCTGCGGCGATGTGCAACCGAGAATCTCGCCTTTAGAGAGAGGTGTGATTTGTGGGATTATGACGCGGAAGCCGGCGCGCTCAAGCACGGGTTTCAGTCCGTGTAGTGTTGCGTTGAATTGGATCGTGCCGACGGTGGCGATCGACTGGCCAGGCTTGAAGTTGCGCTCTAATGTCGCCAGGAGGTGGCTTGTGTCGATGCTGATGTCCACGAAGATGTACAGCGTTTTGATCTGGGTTACGTCGACTGGGATCAGGCAGCTGTGCGCGTAGTGTACTAGCAAATCGCAGCCTAGAGCACGCGCCGTGTAGTCATCAATGCAGCAGGCGCCGTAGGTGACGTCGCCCATGATGAGGGTTTCAATCCCAGGACAGAACTGGGTTAGGATGTCGGAGATGGTTGTCGAGAAGATTAGAAGTCCCTCCGGGAATTGGAGGGCTACTCGTTTGGCTCCTGATGTGCGGACTCGGTGGATTGTCTTCGGGATCTCGAATGAGTAGTTTTTGGGGAGAAGTTCCATTGCTTCTTGGATCTCAGGGTCGTTCAGAATCTCTGGCGGCACTTGGTTGAGGGTGCGGGGAGTGCGTCTGGGAGCGGCTGGAGGAAGTGAAAATTAGTATATAAGTATTTTAGTTGCGCCAGTTGACAATATTTACCTGTTT